TTTATGTTAGTGATCACTGTCATTTCAGTCACAGACAGAAGTACATGATAACTTCTGCCTGTCTCTCCCTTCAGGTAACATTGTCCTCCCTACTCTTTTGTAGCCAAATAGTGGATAAAATGCATGACAGCAGCAGTGGGATTAAGCTGACCCCCAACATGGAGCAAGGCAACAGATACAAAGAGACCTTTACAGGTACAATGTGCTGGGGACAAGCGCTTCCTCCCAACCGATGTGCTGCGTTGCACCCTTGTCACGGAAGAGCTCGTTTTCTCAGCCTGAGCTGCTTTCTCCCTGCAGGTTCTGCCGTGGTGGACTGGCTGATCTCCAACAGCTTTGCCGTGTCGCGGTTCGAGGCCGTCACCTTGGCCTCCATGCTCATGGAGGAGAACTTCATCAAGGCCGTGGGAGCCCGCAGCATCGAGGCCACGCGCTACAGCGACCTGTCGGAGCAGTTCCTCGATGACTCCACCGCCTTGTACATGTTTGTAAGCGAAATGGCCGCCAGTGGAGGCATCTCCCGTGCCCATGGCCAGGCACTTGGGTTTGGGCCGTGGTAAAGTGGATGCCCACGGCATGCACATGCATGTGGTGAAGAAAGCATTAAAGGAGAAGCTGTGGGATTTTAATAGTATAAGGCTTGTACCATTGCTGGAGACAGATAACTACATGGATATGGAGGGATCTACGGGTTAGATAACCAGATATTAAAAGAGGTGCAGCCCTCAGCCCTGCTATGTCTGCATTTAATGGGCACCAAGCTGTAGCTCTACTAAAAGCCAAGGGCACCATGCATGGGTGGTGAATTACAAGTAATTCATTGCTTGTAAATCTCAAAACTGCTGTCCTGGGCACCAGGGCTAGACTAGTCTTCCTTCAAAAAATAAAATAGCTAAAAACAGCTCCAGGGAAGCTGAAATAGAGTGGAAGTTTGCATTTAGAAGTATGTTTAGATTATTTAAAAGTGCAGTTATCTTTTCTCCGTTTGTAGGCTGAGAGCTATAAGAAAAAGATCAGTTCCAAGGAAGACCTGCAGTTTAACATCAGTGAATTAAGTGGCACAATTGTGAAGCAAGGCTATTTAGTGAAACAGGTAAATACAGTCCATGAACCTTTGCTGTGAAAGAAGAAATATGACAGCTGTTAAGGCTGCATGAAGAATAAATGTGGGGTTTAGGAGCATTGCTGGAGAATTATGGCCAACAGAAAAGGGAGAACTCTCTTGTCAACATTGCTATCAGATATAATATTGTAAAGAGGATCTAGTCATAAAGTGAAGGATGCTAATCAAACAGCCCTGGGAGTTGTAAAGATGTCAGAAAATATTTTTCCCTGTTGGCTCCAAACATGTAATTTTACCACCCATTTAGGCTTCCCCTACAGCCTGCTGAAAGAAAGAAATGGCGACTGCAGCATTTACTGGTGGTAACGTCAATTCTTCGATGTTACAGGGGCACAAGAGGAAAAACTGGAAGGTGAGGAGATTTGTTTTGAGAGCTGACCCAGCTTTCTTGCACTACTATGACCCCACAAAGGTAGGTGAGTGGGGAGATGGCCTCCTCAAAAACTCACTTTAATAATAATAATAATAATAATAATATGCAGTTATGCTGTTGTTTATCTTGTCCAAATCAGAACAGTTAAAAGAGCCTGTAGAGCTTGTTCATCTTTTCCTTGCCACTTTCCTTGTGGTCTTTTTTCTTCATTGCAACTCATCCTTTTACTGCTGTAAACTCAAACTGCAGAGCTTGGAGGTCAGGCAAGAGAACTGACCTGCTAGTGATAACAGATTTTTTCCCATGTAGACTCAGGGAAAAATGGCAAGCTAAAAACTGTCAGAAGTATTTCTTTTTAAAATATGTTATTGATAAAATGGTAAGGAAGTTTTAAGTATGTATTTTTTATGTGCTTTTAATCAATCTCTACCATTCTCAGCACCATTAAAGAAATCTCTGAGACTGAGGGAAAAATTATATTGAACTTAATCACATGTCCTAACTGAATTCTCCTGTGACTTGGTTGATTTAGATCCAGAGAAACTGGCATTACCTCTCCCCTTTCATAAAAACAATTGTTCCACCCTGGAAAACAAGTCCATATTTTTTGCAGATAAGCTTCACTTCCATTTTATTTGCAGGAAGAAAACAGGCCAGTGGGTGGGTTTTCTCTTCGTGGCTGTCTTGTCTCAGCTCTGGAGGACAATGGAGTCCCAACAGGTAAGCATGAGCATCCAGACTTGCCTGCATCCAAACTCCTGCTCCAGCAGAACTGTTCTTGGTGGGTAGGACCACGTGTGTCCCAAGTGAGCTCTCCTTTCCTTTCACGTGTCCATCATGGGACAAGGCAGTCCCAAACTGCTGGGCTGTCCAATACCAACTAGGAACTTTTACACTTATTTCTGCATATCTTGACTGTTCCCCTTTCTCTGGCCCTTTCTCAATCAGATGACCTCTGAGTCTGTCTCAAGACACTGATTAATCTTACAGAGTTAGCAGTCAAAGAGGAAATGTCTTGGTTTTGGATGTTGTTGAACACGACACACAAGAGGGATCCCCTTATGTCATCCCTTTTTCACTGCTTTCTTTCTATATGCCATTACTTCTTTTTTGGTTTTGATCTGCTACAATCAAAATGTAGGACACGATAAAAAATAACAGTAAAAAAAAAAAAAGCTGTTAAAAAAAGCAGTTCTGCTAGCGTATGTGCTTAGCTTCATGGTTGTCTGGAACCTCAGCCTCACAAATAAGTGTTTTTGCTGTTAAAGTTTTTTTTATTATAGTAATATATATAGTTTTACAGGGTGTAAATGTGGAGAGAGCGTTAAAGATTATGAGTTTATTATAGTAAGCCCTTACTATAATATCTTGCTTATAGAAATATAGTAAGATATTTCTAAAGAAATATCTTTAAGAATTGGTTTCCTTTTCCTCTTCCTAAGCAATAAATCTCCCCACAAAAGACACAGCCTGAAAAAGATATAGAAGAGGGGGTGGAGGGGGAGAGAGATGACACAGCAGTAAGAAGGAGAGCTCCCTGCTAAAGGAGCTGAAGTTGGGCAGGAACAAGTCTCATCTACTGCAGGAACTGGTAAGGAGTTCATGTCTGTCGCATAGCTCCAGTCAGATTCCCTATCTAAACAGCATACATTTTACAAATGGTGCATAACACAGCAGTGCCTCCAGTCTCCAAGAGGGGTCTATACTATGTCTTTCGAATGCAGAAAAGGAATCAGATACATGAGCTTTAAATGTCCTGTCCATAATGAAACAAACAGATCTATGAGACCACATCTGCTGAAAAGATGTGTTTGATCTCTGTGTACTCTCCTGATCTGTCACATTTCTATTTTCCTGCAGGAGTGAAGGGGAATGTGCAAGGCAACCTCTTCAAAATCATCACCAAAAATGACATCCACTATTATATCCAGGCCAGCTGCAAAGCAGAGCGAGCACAATGGATTGAGGCCATCAAACCTCTGACATGAGTCAGGAGGACTCCATGCCAAGTGGCAAGTCACATTTGTGACCAAGTTTCCTGCTCTGTTTGTCTGGGAATGTTGGGTTTTCTCTTAGGCATGTTTTGATATTTGTACTACCAGAGCGCAGAAGTCATGTAAATCCAGAATAAAAGTTAGCCACCAAGAATTTACCACCTAATTGAGAGACAAGGAACAACAGATTGATACAGACAAATGGGAATTTATATGGAAAAAAAATAAGATAGAATATTCCAAGATGGAAGAAAATATCCTTTTGTACACGTGTTCAGTTTATTGCACGTATTGTGCTTTTACCTAAGGCAGAAAAATCTGTTCATTTCCCCCTTATAAAGGGGCTCATAAACTTAGTCAAGGCTGACTTCACTGGAGCTGTCACACAGGTCCAGCTGTCACACTGGAGCTGTTCACACAGCTGACTGGAGCTGTGTGAACTGGGTCAGAGCTGCGAAAGGTTCCAGTTTCTGAGGCTGCCTCTCTTGAAGCACCATGAGAAATCTTGTGTGAACTCCAGTCTAGCTACCAAGATAACTGCTCTTGTGAAACAACCCACAGGTCAGTCTGGCCATCCATCTGCTCTGGTATATGGTTCTCTGTCACACCAGGAAAGATCTGAGAGGCCCCCGCTCTAAGATACAGGTTTTTGTTTTGCTAGTCATGGCTCATAGCCCCACCTGACCCTGAGCGCTGCTCTGTCCCATCAGGCGGGCCAGGGTTGTTCCAGACAATGACTGGTGCTGAGTGTGCTGGAACAAATTGCTCAGCCAGGAGAACAAGCCTTTTCTTTCGGATTATCCCCATAAACCCATTCCTGTGGTGCACCATGAGGACTGAGAGCTTTCATAGCAGTTCTGCCTATTGCTGTCTCTATTTTAAGCCATTAAACTTTGCATTATTTTTCTAGCAAACTTGCCTTTTATATTGTTATTATTAAACATAAGAGAAGTTCAGTGTATTTGAATCTACTCTGCTCTTTCAGTTTTCTCAGAGTGGCTTGGGGTATGTGAAAATGATGGTTTCATATAACCTAAGCTTAGATCAGTATGAAAACTCAGACATCTTCCACGGTGACAGAGAATTGAATGGAATTCAAGGAGGTGGTTAAAACACCCTAAAAGAATGCCCCATCTTCTATAAAAAATTCCTCATGTTGCCTGAGAATCTGTACCTGACAGCCAGGCTCTGCAGAATCTCTAGAAGGCCTCTGAAACCAGTATGCTATGTATCTTCCCTGAAATCACAAGGAAATTGCATAGGCCCCTACCTACAGAATGATTTCTTTGCAGATTTGTTGTCCTCCAAGTTCTGTAACAAAAAAAAAAAAAAGAAAAAAAAAAGAAAAGAAAGAAAGAAAAGCCTCCTTATATAGAGATTTTCTCCCTTTGCTTGTTTTATAACCAACCAATTATAAAAGAGACAAAGGCAGCAGCTATGATATGTAAATGTATTATAATAGCCACATATTCAGGAATCTTTTGTAAATCTACATCAATAAAATATCAGCATAACACTCAGATGCAGTGAAATATTTAACAGAGGAAATACAGAAGCTTGTCAATAAAGATCCATTTTTAATCAGAAACAAGATGAAGCAATGCAGCTACGGCTACCACTGCTGATCCAGAGTAGACCAGGAAATCCACGGCTGCTGGGACCTCTCAGCTCACATGAACTCTACCTGCAAGAGACAGGGATGATGGTAAGGCATTTGCTGCTCTGCCCTGGCAAGCAGGACAGTAAATTTATTTACATTTACTGTCCTGGGAAGCATAGCTGACTTTGTGCCAAGCGATGAGAGCCTCCAGGAAGAACACTTCTCTCCTGCTAATGCAAACCTTGCCGGGGGCCCATCAGGCTCCCTTGCTCACTCACAAGGAGATCTCCAACCTTTCTTCTCTCAATACCAACACCTGAATAGTGCTCACTGCTCACACAGCAATGCAATCTCTGAGAGGCCTGACTGCAGCAGCTGGCGTGGCCGAGGGCATGGAGGGGAGCAGTTCCTAATAGGAGGTATCACATAGTATCATAGTTCTAAGGCTGAGAGGCCGAGAGAATATCTCAGCAAAGGCCATCTGATTTACCTGGACCAGCCACAGCCCTGCCACTGCACAATGTGTGACAGAAAAGAAGAAAAAAGTACATTTTTCAAACACATCGCAAGCGAAATAGTCACAGTCCCCAGGAGAGAAAGCAAAAACATTTCTCAAACAGAAGAAAGTACATTTGTTTGTGTCCCCTGATGACACCGAGGATGTCTTCTCTATCAAGCCACTTTGGTAAGCTTGATGTCCCCTGTGATCTGCAAAGCTTTCACCAAGTTCAGGGCCTGAATGCGGTGAGTGAAATCACAGAACTGCCGTCCATCAACCAAGACCCGAATTTGCTGGTGTTCGCACAAGAGCTCCATCTGCAACAGAAGAACAACAAAGGAAGGCACCAGAGACCAGCAGCAGAGCTGATTTTGCCAGCATGGTTTTGGAACCCCATGTGATCAGGATATCGAAACACGAGGCCTACAGGTTTTTCCCTAGCATCTCTAAATTAACAACTCCTGCTGAGATAATACTGTAAAATTCTCTCAGTAACTGAGTGAATTCTCTCAGTAAAGCTAGAAAAGAAATTGTTCTCCCCCATCAGGGCTGCTGATGAAGTGTGAAATGGTTCTCTCAGTGCCATACTAGACTAGTGTGCCAGGCTTGTTTATGCACCCACTTCAATAGTTACAAGTCTGCTGTGATATATGCAGCCTTTCTGCCTTTGTCCCACCCTAATCAGAGAACCTCCCAGATTACCTTAAACGTGTCGCCTGCTGTAAATGGGAAGTAGGGAATATTTTTCTCTTCTCTTCCCCATTTCCCACCAGTTCGCGCATTTCGGGTGATGGATTTGTCACCGAAATTAACTGTAAGTAACAGCCCAACATCTTTGTTTGCATCCACTGGATCACAGAGCAGAGACACTGCAAAGCTGAAAAAAAAAACAGTTTAGTGACTGGGACTTCCAGAAATGTAAGAGAACAGAGGAGACATGGCAAATGCAGGGAGAATGCATCTGTGGGTGAGCTGAAGCTCATGTCAAAAAGGTGGCTAAGGAAAAAAAAAAATTTGTTAAGAGAGGAAAACCCTTCCGCAGTGGAGACATGGGAATTGATAGCAGTAAAGGCAGGAAATGTAACGATAGCGTAGGTGCTGTTGTCTGGAATGGGCCTGCACTAGCAGTGCCAAACCCAGAGGTTTTTGCTGTGCAGAATTCAACGGGGTTGACAGAGGTTCTGAATTACATTGGGTCCTGAAAAAGCAATAGTCATAAACTCCCCACAGTGCTCACAAGACAAAGTCAAGGAGCAGAAAACACTGCAACAGCAGTATGAGAGCCGAGCAGTGTATTCCTTCTTGAACTTTAATCTTACTCTAAAAGCAGGAGAAGGAAACAGAACCATAAATTATGAATCTGTATGACTTTCCTCCTCCTCAAGAAACCTTTTGAATGTAAAAGGTGGCCATGTTACAGTGTAGGAAGTGATGGGACCTCACAAAGCCCGTCACCTACCTCTTGGGGTTGGAATGCACTATCCCTATGACAGTGATTTTCATGGCTGGTCTCAGTCCACCTTTGATTTCCCCAATGTACTGCTCCACCTGTGGTGAAAAAATGCTGAGGTAGTTTACAGGTTGCTTAGACAACCTTTAGCAGCTGCTTTGGTTCCCTCCTAAAGCTCTATTTTTGCAGGTAAAAAAGGGATATAAAAATTCTACAGACTAAATAATTTCTATGTTTTTAGCCCAAATTTCATTCATTCTGGTACCTGAGGTGAGACATGATCAAAATTACTGATAGGAACAGGGTGACTAACTTGATAGGGTGGTGCTCCGTGACAGGCAGTGTCTGACTAAAGACTGACATGGCTAAGATGACTGGCTGCCGTCTGCTCTGAGTGTGACTGATAAGCATGATTAATTAATGTGACAGCACACCTCATGGGGCTCCCTAAACAGGTACCACAAAAGGAAGATGACTGGCACCACTAGCTAAGGTAAGAGTAAGCACTTCAAACACTGAAGCTGCTCAGGGAAATGAGATCAAGGAGGTGATGTGACTCATGTTTCAAGAGGCGACAACTAAGTGACACATCTCGCATATCCCAGTAACTGCTAATATGGTCCAGGGACAATAAACCTGGTCGTCATGCTCCCCACAGCAGATCAAGAGCTTTGCGGCAGGATGATGCAGGGCACAGACTTACTCTGCCAACTCAACTTTTTTAACATATTTTGACTGGTTGACTTGATATTAGCAGACATATAGTGGGCAAGGTAAGGCCTGTCCTCCGGTGCAAGCACATAAATCCAGCATAAACTCTGCAATGCAGCTGATTTGACAGAAAAGTAACATGCACTCTCTTCAGATCCCAATCAAACTTGTACTGGCCATTTGGCAATGGGCAGGTCCAGACCACTGGACTAGATATTTAATATAGATCATTTTTATTGCCCACCTTTATTTAGCCAGGAGTAGTATCCCTTCTTCCTATTTATCAGAGTTAGTAACTTTAAGTAAATTGAAAACCACCATTTTTAAGGCATAAGAAGAATTCTCAGTAGATTCACTTTTATTCTATTTACAGAGAACTGTAGCTGGAAAATCTACCTGAATATCAGAGCTACATTTATTTGTTCCAAGTAATTCTCTGGCTATTTCAAGGGTCAGTAATGAAACTGACCTAACTAATGAAACTAATAATGTTGCTATAGACAAATAACATAGACAGCTTAGAAATGAATAACAGGATGTTTTGAGAATTCATTTTCACACAATGATTTGACAATGCAAATGCCAAAGTACTGTGCTGCAACATGTAATCACTCCGTGAGCACAGCCACTTAGCCAGAAGTTGCTGTAAAATGCTGTGTGTTATTAGCAATTTGTATTTGCAGCTCTTCAAACCAATACACAACTTGCAGTATTTTAAATAAAAAAATACTTTATTTTTCCAGCATTCCAAAGTCAAAATTCAGACTTTTTTTTTTTCACTAGGAGATCTGCACAAAATATATGATTTCATAGTTTGACTTTTAGAAACATTACATTATCGTGGAAACTCATGGACTTCTGATCACAGTAAAATCATTTTTATTGAAGTGTAATTTGTTGTATCTCATACATTATTTAATTCAGATGATTGGAAAATATGACAAATGTTAGCTTTTTCTTTTGCGAAGCTATGCTTATTAAGAAGGAGAAAATTGGAAAATTATTGATTGTTAGCTTGCTTAATGAACATGGAAATTACAGATGAAAAACTCTCTCCTATGCTCTGCTTTCTAATTCCAACATACTAGTTAGAAGTCCTGCTGAAAACACTATCAATAATTTAACTTCCCTTCTTGATTTTTACATTTAGCAACCTTTACAAAACTATAGACTACAAACCTGTAATTCCTAAATGGAAAAAAAAAAAAAAGCCTTCAAAACTGCAGCAAAAGTGGTACTTGTGCAGGTGACTCCAGTAGGCAGGCTTAGAAATTTGTAAGAAAAGCAAAGCATCAACCATCCAAGATATCTTACATGAGGGCATAGCTTCTCAAGTAAGAAGTCTGACTAAGGAGACACTTGAAATTAAGTAGATGGAGTGTTCGGAGAGCGGATAACAGAGTGACAAGACTGCAGGACGAACCAACTCCCGTAGGGTGGCGGGTCGCCCCTTTCTTGCCTGCATGGGAGGCAAGACATGAAATAACACCCGAGCCTGAGACGGTTGAGAAGCAGAGCCGTCACACTCCACAGTTAAGAGCAGTCATTAAGTGCGTAGGGTTAAGGTATCTGAGTTCAATATCTGCAGTGACAACTATATGGTTTCCACACTTACAACTCTTCCAGCACGGCCAAAATAAATTCAGAAGTAGACATGTCTGTGGGCCGTATCTTGGTTGATTTTGAGTTGACATGGTAAACTATTCAAGATGCTACAGGAGTTAAGCAGAGTTAAGGATGAAGTCACTACCAGATCTTATACTGTTTAGAGGTGAGCTGAGAAACTCCTAGCAGTTTTGTCCTTTCACTACACACCTGTGCGTCGCCCCCCTCCCCGTGTTTTCCATGTAAGAGCCAGTGGGATTCGTATGTTCACTTACTTGGGCACCCCTGTCATTCTCCATCCTCCCTCCTCTGCCTTGCACTTGTCCCCGCTGCAAGAGTCCCAGGAGAGAGACCGCGCTGCTTTGGCGCCTTAAGGGGGAAAACAACAAACAAAAAGCCCGGAATAAAGGGAGGATGTGGGCAGGGGGGGGCCTTATCTCTGCCGAACACCACCGGGACACCACCCTGCGAGCAGCTGAGTCACCCTCCTCCGCCTCGCTCTACCCTCTGCAGGCACCAAGCGGACACAAGGACACAGGGAATAACACGGCCCTGCCGTGCAGCCAGGCCCACAGCCTCTGCACAGGCCATCAGGACACTCTACATGGAGAATCTCCATTTTCTGGCACATCTGCAGATGAGGAGTTAGGTGTAGCACATGCCTTGTGTGTGTGTGCGCACATGTGTATGTATTTATAAAATATCATGTACTGTACACATGAAAGGGTAACTGAATTAAACTTTACTAGATCTGTTTTGATAGTACTTGCATCTTTAAAAGGTTAAAAAATATATATTATGCATACATTTATAAGCATAAATACAAAAAAGTATATACATAAATATATATTTACAAATAAATACATATATGACACCTCCAAGGCAGGTGTTCTGTCTGCACGGGGCGTGTACGTGTGTGCGTCTCCACCAGCACCCACTGCAGCCCCGGGGACAGGTCCCCGGTGTCACCGCCGCCACCTCCCCGCCCAGGCCCTCGCTCCACACGGCCCAGCTCCCGGTACGGGGGCGGAGTTACGCGCCATGGGGCGGGGCTCTCAGCGAGAGCCAATCAGAGCCTGAGGAGGCGGAGCTGCCCGAAGCTGCGAGGCGCGGCGGCGGCGTCAGGCGCCCCAAAGAAAGATGGCGGACTGTGTACGTGCCGGCGCTGCCGGGCCAATGGGCGCGCTCCCGCGCGGTCAGCTGGGAGGGCGCTGAAGATGGCGGCGGCGCGGCGGGTCGGCGCGGCGGGTCGGCGTTTTCCTCACGCATTGCCGGGGGGAAGCGCTCCGTGAGGCCGCGCCGCGGCAGGATGCACCCCTTCGGCCGGGAGGAAGCGGCCTCCCTGGAGCGGCTCGCGGGCTTCTTCCGCGAGTGCGTGCGGCGCGGGCGCTGGGAGCTGGCGCGGGCCTGCGCGCCGCAGCTGCGCCGCGCGCCCGGCCGCCGCGCCGTCGAGCGCGCCCTGCTCGCGCTCCTCGCGCGGCCCCTGCCCGCCAGGTAAGCGCGGGAGCGGGGCCCTGCCCCGCTCGAGAAAGGCCTGCCGTGGTTGACATTTCAGGGAAATTGAAATCTGATGTCGCTCCCCGTCTCCAAGCGAATGATAATGAACGCTCCTCATTAATGTTTGTGTAACATTTAGTAACGCCTTTAAGAAACAGACTGTGAACAGCAGTTAAAAGGCATCCAGGGGAAGTTGTGCACATGGTTAGAAGAGTATTACAGATGACCATATGAGATGCAAGTATTTGTGATTTTCTTTAACGTTACTATATGTACTGTACAAATATGCTATATATAGGAAAACACCATGTACACATAGTGAAAGAAATATATGTATTAAACACAGACACTGCCAATTCAATACCTAATATGTTCTTTAACAGCATAGACTTTGGGTTGAGTACTGGAGCAGGTTAAAAAAAAAAAAAAGATGCAAGTTAGAAATATTCTTTAATTGGTGCAATAATTCACTTTTAATTTGGATATAGAACTCCATTTTTGGTTTTGTGAGCTAACGAGTTTGATTTTTGGGGCTGGAGCTAGAAGAGAAGAAATGGCAGTTTGGCAAGCACACAGCTTTCAGAGAAATATCAGCTCCAAGTGCCCTGTGGACTGAACTTTAGACCAGAAATAAGTTCCAATGTTTAGAAGCAAAAAAGCTATGGCAGCAGTATCGGTGCTTAGCCCATCCAAGAGCCGTTAGTTAAATAGCAGAAAATACCAGGTTAAGATATAAATAGTACTGGTGTTCTGTATTCTCTGCATCTTCTTCGACTCTTCTTTAAAGACATGGTCATCTTTATTTCAATCATATTTGAGGAAATATGAAGACCAAAATGAGCTCTGACCGTGTTCAGGGATGGGGAATGGTGCTGTATGTAATTCTTGATATGTGCTTATTACTTCCCTAGATGTGGGCAGAACTGCAGCCCTCGAAGAGCTGCGTGGCTATGGCTTCTTGTGCTGGAAAAATGGCTTGCCTGTGATCAGGTACAGAAGATAGTTGTAGCTGACTTCCAAGTCAAAAATAATCAATCTAGTTGCCCATTTAAAAATGTATGTTCTCCTACTGGTCATGTAAGACGGTTCTCGTGGTAGTCTGGGGGGTGCTTGGGATGGGTTTTGCTTTTGTTTTTAACAAACATGACAAGAGACAGTTGTCTCTATTTCCAGATGTATGGTTAGATGGAATCCCCTGGTGCAGGAGCAGGACCTAGATGTGGAATATTCTTTAACTGAGAATTAGATACCCTCAGAGAGATATTTCAGTCTGCTTTCAGTCTGATAATTAAGTAGCTAAAATCAGGTTTATGTGTTAGTATAAATTTAAGTAAAGTTTGTTTAACTTTTTCCTCATTTTCTTATGTTACCTCAGAAAACTGTTCCAGTTGCTCTTCAGAGAGAAACTGAATTTTTACTGCTCTTGGAAGAACTACAGAAAGATGTCTCTGAGGAAGTTCTAAAAGTGAGTGCTATTTTACTTCCTCTCATCAATTTTTCAGAGTGTGCAGCTTCTCCTTGTCAGCTGCCTGTACGAGTTGTGGTACTTGCTTAAGAGCACGGGGCTTGTATTTTAGTTGTTTATTACAGAACCCTTCACATTTTGTGGTATGTATGCTATTTTAGAGCGGATATTGGATGAGATAGAGCAGTATTGTCACTTCCTAGGCAATCTGATGCTTTCAAATTGATTTATCTGGCTGTCTTCAAGTTTCTCATGTTTTTCAATATATTTATTTCATGCTCTTTTACGAAGTCCGAAAGGCTTACTGCTCTATTCCTCCCTTCCAGGAGCTGTTTGAGGCATTTGAGTGCACGCAAGACACGCATCCCGCAGACAGGATGAGAAAGGATGACCATTCCCACAGCTTCAGTCTGGGAGCCGTTTCAGCTCTCCGGAAGCTTTTGCTGCGAGCTCCCCAGAAGACCCAAGCTCTGCTGGAGTTCCTCCGGGGGGAACAAGCCGCACACGGCGCCTCTCTCCAGCAGTATTCCTCTCTGCAGAATATCTTTGTTGACTTCCTTCGCGAATCCTTAAAATCCCTGCAGAGACGTCAGTGCCATTCTGAGATTTCAGGAGAACTGGATCAGAGAGAACTAGTGGATACAGTTTATGGTGCTCTTACTATGATGAATTTTGATCCGGAACATCAGCCTGATGAAATTCGGCAGCTCTTCAGGGAGCTGTCGGATGCGTGTTGGGCTGAAGGGAGCCCACTGAGGGAAGAGAAGTTACTAAGCTGCATGCTAAGGAAACGGAGCTACGGCCTCTTAAACATCTACAGCAGTGTTTTTGTAGACAGAACAAAAGAAAGATTTCTGGTGTCAAAATCAAAAGGTTTGTTTCACTTTTATCTGGTACATTGAGTTGAAGAGCTTGGTTGAAGCTGGGTGACCAGCAGTGCCCACGCTCGTGTTGGGAAAGTGGCAGAAATCCCGAAAGTGGTGAGTGTGCAAGGAAGGAAAGGCTAGAATACCTGCTCTCCTCTGCTTGCCTCTGTGCATGTAGGTGTGAGTCAGTGGGGTTTGTATCCTCTGGCTTCCAAAGGTTACGTTTGCTCCTAGGTATTGCTGAAGGGAAGTTTAGACCAGTGAAGCTCAGTGAAGCTGCTGATAGTGTTCCCTTGTGGGGGAAGAGAAATACAGATACTGAGAGCAGTTGAATTCTGACTTGGTGCAAGTCAGAGAAGTCTCTGTGCTGAGCAGACCATTGCTAGGGCCTGCAGAGCAGCAGTGTCACAGAGAAGGGACGGTTCAAGCTACGTACGGATGAAATGTGTATGATGAGAGAAGAGGAAGAAGTGCAGAGTCGTTCTTCTCTATAGGTGTGAGCTAATGGTGCATGCTGAGCAGGCCTGTGCTAATGTTTCAGCATTTTGCATTAATTCTCCACCAACCAGAAAATCTCTTGCAAACCAGAAAATTTGCAACCAGAAAATCTCTTTTGCTCATTTGTAGCTCAAAGAAAAATGGGTTTTGGATTGGGTTTGGGCTCAGCCCACATTGTTAGATATACTGGTTATCAAATAGTTCTAATGATAGGATGCTGTATTAGGAGCAGTCTATTCTATACAGTAGAGCTCAGCCTCCAGCTTACAGATGTTTTCACCTCATTTGCCCTGTTTCCTTTTCCTTCTCCATTTTTGTGACCGAATTGCTCATGAGTTTTAACTAGTAGTATATAATAGCTGCTTAGTATTTGAAAGAATGTTAAATGTTCCTCAATTTAAACTAACAGTGATTATGCTTCTTTGAAATGCACCCCTTTGTACTAAAAATTAATCTTATTCTGATGTGTTTCAGGCTCCTCTGAGCAGCTGGATACAGAGCGAGCAGTGATGGCTTTGTTCTCAGATCCCAAAGAGGCTGCTTCTTGGAAGACTGCCTATTTCTATTGCTTGAGCAGCAGCAAGCACTTTCTGGAGCAGATTCTGGTATGGCCATAAAGTCTTTAAGAGGGAATCCAGTGGTAGCTAACATCAGTCCCTGTACTCTAGATGCAAAATGCACCTGGAAGTCACCAAGGTATTCTGATTAGTGACCAAGAGACATGACTTCCAGGAACAAGGAGTTAATTCCCATTAATTTGGCTGTATGATGGACTCAAAACATTCAGTGAAATTTTGGAAAAGCTCCTCTGCGTGTAAACTGAAGATTCGATCTTGAGGATTTAGGAAGTCCTGTGTTCTATCTACAGCTTTGTCAGCTGTTTCCTGTTGATTTACCCCATGACCTTGGATTAGACACTTTGCTTTTGTGAAGCTGGTGGACTTCAGGCAGGGAAGCTTTTCAAAGGATTTGCAAGGTGAAAGTAATATTTGTAAAGAGCTTGAAGATCTGGTGAAAAACTTTCTGTACAGAATAAATTACCTGAATGTCTTTACATGGAGAAAATAAACAGAATCCTGGCAGGTAGCCACTGCTGTAAATTTTAAAATTTGACTTAGCTCCATTTTTAGGTTAAGCTACTGATAGAAGATTCTTAGAAAAAGTCCTTGATAGAGATTTTTCAGTTCAGAAAGGAACTAATGATAGTATAGTGAGGGAATGTGAGTCAGTTTTGTAGCAAATATTTGGGGTAACTAGAGGGCTTGTAGAATACGAGTTTGGGAAACTTCCAAATGCAGAATGGTACCCTTTTTGCCAAGCTAATGCCGAAGCAGCTCCTTGCTTGCATAAACTGCTAAATTCATAACTTTTAGAATGATAATTACTCTCCCCTTTGTTTTCTAGGTGACTGCATTAACCTTACTGAAAAGAGAAGACTTCTCAGGCCTGCAGAGTTTACTGAGGAGGGAATTCAACCCCCTCAGTCGCCTTTTGATATTGCTAGGATGGACTCACTGTCGGAGCTTGGAATCGGCAAAAGCATTGCTGTGGACTCTTCACAAAACTCAGGTAAGCTGCAGCGAAGGCAAGTGGCAGTGTTGAAGTGCTGTGCTTCTAGTCTGAATCTAGTTAAAGCAGTTTGCTTATATTGTTGGTTTTCTGACTCTCTTCCTTTTTTTTTTTTTTTTTTTTTTTGGCGGGGGAGGAAAACCTAATCTGAGTTCAGTGGTGGGTGAGCTAAAAAAAATCTTCTATGGGTATTCCCAGATTGAAATCAACTTTGACACAAATAACATGGTCTGAAAGATCTACTTTACTTGGAAGTCTTTCTCTTTGAATAAGTCGAAGTGAATATTTGGTCTCTTTTTTTAACAGGCAGCCATCTGTTTCCAGAAAGCATGTGGAAAAGGAAAATGGGTATCTGCTACCCAGTTCAGCATTTGATTTAGTACACTATTACTTGTAGAGTTAAACTCTGAACTACCATTAGTAAGCATTAGTTGCCCTTTTGAAAACTCAGTTTGAACAGGGATGTAGCTGTCGTCTTGTGGTCTGAAGATATGTCATGTGTTGGCTAATCAACTTGGCTCATTCAAATAGTCCTTTCTTGCTGTCTTTCTAACAAATCTGGCAGGTTTCTGCACTTAATTAGCCTGTGGTTAAAGAGCCTTAGAAATATCTCATATGTGATACAGGCTTGGTTCTGATGTGTTTGCCTAGAGATTTTTTGTAAAAGAGAATGTTTTATTTGCCGTTCTCATTAGGATCTGTGCAATGATTTGGTGTTAAAGGATTTCTGTGATGGTCTCTGGGCTCAAGTGGAAGTCCTTGAATGGTGCATACAGCAAAACAGGTAAAATAGAACTCTTTCCAAACTGTCTTGTCAAAGCTGCCTATTACTCAGTGTTACATGTGTAAATAGACAGTGTGTTCTTTCTGTGAATCAGTGCGAATTGGCTCCTAGTAACTGCATACCACAAGTTCTTGAAATTGCTTCCTGCATGTTAGTTATGCTGGGTTTTTTAGGTCTTTTTAACTGCAGTAATTCTATTGAATGAGAATTAGCATGAAAGAACTTTAAACATGACTGAGAGGCCTGAGTCTGTGCCACCTTTTTGTTTCTTGTCTGTTGCAGTATTACTATCCCAAAGAAGGTTCTTCTGCACCACCTGCATAGTCTAGATAGCCACACTGCAGTATACTCTCTTCATCACCTCACTAATCTGCTGGCACTGAACGAAGATGATGTAATTGAGCTTCTTCAAAAGATTCCTTCTAGAGACCAACAGATGCAGGGTAAATGTGTGTAGGATTGTGAGATCATGGGAATATCTGTGATCTGTCAAAGTGTTTGCTGCTCAGTGCTTCTGTCAGGAAGAATCCGTTCTTATCACTTGCTTTTGTAAATTTGGAAGATAACACACATGCGTGTGTGTGTGTATGTGTGTGTATATATATATAATTTTTTTTTAAGAAAAAGATCTTTGAAATAGCCTTTCTGGGATGGTAACAAATCTTTGTATGTGATTCATGATTTCTACCAGACTGATGTAGGGGGAAAAAAATGAGATCTTCCGTTTCTGTTGCTGAAAACTGACTTAATTTTAAAATTAAAATTATCATGCATGCTTTTCACTATCACATATTTTATAATATCCATAACTTGAAAAGTTAAGTGTGAATTTTGGATTTTAGCCAAGAGTGCACTTACCTTTCAAAGCAATAGACAAAGCCAGATGAGATTCGTGGTATCTATCAATGTAATATCTTCTTTTTGAAATGCATTATTTTCTTCCGATATAAAACCTTAGCCTTTTTTGAGATTACAGTCTGTATGGCTTATTTTTAGACTGTTTTTACATTCTTCTTTCCTCATTTCTCTTTTCCTCTTATCCTCCAATTCAGTTCTTAAAATAACCATTTTAAACTCCATTTAAGCTCTTGCACAAAGGAGGCAAAACTAGTAAACTTACACTCATAATCTGATGCATCTCTTCTAATATCTCCAACAAGTCAATACTGCACCTTAGTGTAGAGCTCCTGGTAAATTACAGCCTGTGTAGACACTGAGCAGGACTCAGCTATTTTTTTTCAGTTAATTTAGCTATTTCTTCAGTCCTAACTGTGATGTGCATCATAGTTTCCACCACTGCTGCTGTTTAGAATTCAATGATAGGGCAAGAGCAGACTTCAAACTGTGTGCTCTGTTTATCTTGTTCTTTTTTTTTCTTTTTTTTTTTTCTTCCCCTTTTTTGAGGTTTCGGTTGACTCAGAGCCTTCTTTCCCTCCGCAGTGCCAGCGGTTCCCAACGTGCTGAGCCAGCGGCGCAACGTGGCGCTGTTCCGTGCCTTCTGCGCCATGAAGTACGCGATCTACGCGCTCTGCGTGGGCTCGCGCCGGCAGTCCGGCTGCAGGGGCTGTGTGCACGGCCCTCCTGCTGATGGCCCTGAAGACACAACTGCTCCCAGAGAAGCGGCAGGAGGCTGGCCTCCCTGCTCAGGTGCAAGACCTTCCCTTTCTCCCTTTGCTGGGCTCTGCAGTGGCATTTAGTATTAGGATGATAGTACACCCTGCACACACATGATGGGTTTTATGTAGAGGGCTATGAATGCTTTGCAAACAAGTCTGTTGGCATTTGTGAGGTGCTTTTACCTTCAGTAGTTATGGATAAGCTGCCTGCTTTGTCTAAAGCACTTAAGATAATTGTATTAAAACTACAGTGCAAGAAGAAAATGGTATTAGATAGAGGAGAGTTGAAGCAAGCATGCGTTTGTTAGAGCTCATAATTTCCCAGGGCCAAAACTGATTTAATCGTTAAAATAGATGTAGTCTGAATTTATATTTTCTTGCACAATGTAATAGTTGCAACTATTGAGAGGAAGTCAGCCTGCAGACCATCTAAATGTGAAACGCTGAACGCTATAGGTACTTGATTTGTAGAGAAATGATGGACTCCAAAATGCTGGGGTAGTTAGTTCCCTATTCTGCGATTTGCTTGGGGGGCAGAGGTGTGAGGGAAGACATCCTGGAAAATATTGTAAGCATTCTTTGTTTTTATTTTTACATACGCAGATTGCTCATCAGTCTTTCCCCAACACCTTGTGAAATGTCAGCAGTTCTTAAGGAGTGTTCCTGCTCCCCTGCGCCTGGAGCTTCTGGAGAACATCTTCTCCTTGCTTTTTGTTTCGTATAGTGACCTTCACACAGAGAATCTCCAACCTGAGGACTATGCAGAGGAGGATGATCTTGACAAGAAGAGTTGTACTGTGAGTGTAGAAGGCAGTACTAGTCGACAGTCTTCCACTTCAGAAAGTCCACAGCACCAAGTAGAGGCTGACAAGAAAGTAGAGAAGCACCTGCTAGCTGCTCAGAGAGTGCACTCAGATACTGGGGCTTTTTCTGACTCAGAGTTGCGTAGTAAAAGCTATAAATGTTCTCAGCAGAGCTACCTGGATCTGAAACACTTCACCAGTGGTGTCACTGGCTTTTTAGTGGATGACGTGACCATGGATGCCTTCCTCAAGTTGCTCCTCAACCACCTGGAAGAAATTCAGAGTTCTCTCCCATGGGACTCCAGTAATGTGCTTTGTGAAGAGCTGGAGCTTGTCGAGTGCTTGAATCTTTCTGCAAGCAGAGACAGTTTTGGGAATCGTGTACTGCAGTTTTCCAAGCACCTTTCTGAAGCTCACTGGCGATACAAAGTGGTGATGAGTAACAGAAGTGCAGGTAGGGTTCATATTAGGGTGCTTTCTTGTGGCATTGATACTTTTCTATTCCAGCTCTCCAGACAGTGCTCTCAGCTAGAAACCCTGAGCATACCAGAGAGGGGCATGTTTTGGTGGATGCTGAGATCAAGCGAGTTTCCTTTGTTTGGAGGCTTGCCATCAGAGCTCTGCCTGTGCAGATGTACAGGCACTTTTCAAGCTAGACAAATATCTGTGTTTATGTCCTGTCCAGCTACTTGGTAATGTTTTTGTATTTAAATTTATCTTTTCATAGAACATCAACTTGCAGCATCCAGAAGATACTGCTCTTTAAGCAGATGCTCCAGTTTAAGGAAGAGAAATAAATCTCAAAGGTACAAGACAGGTGAGTTGAGAAAATGACTTAAGGCATCTATGAAGTGCACATCATATTGCTGAGTTCTCATTGCAGAATGCAGCTAGATTTACTGGACAGAAAATAGCAAACAAAATTTACTTCCATTAGTTAATTGGTTTGAAGCATCATAATCCAGTTCTACTTAGATTGATGTTGTTTTCCTGGAGTTTGCATCTACAACTAAAAGATAACTCATCTAAAATAAATTAAGGAAATAACTTTAATGTGTAACCTGATTTCTGAGGGAGAGCTTGCAACTGCAATACCAATTCTTCTGTTGTCTCCGCTATATTCAGTAATTATTGGTCATATTTTTATGCACATCACTGCAGTATCCAAGATATGTATTTTTTTTGAATCACTGTAACTTAAATTCTTACTCCTTTTCTACATAGTTTTTTGAAAGATAAGGCTAGTTTTGAAGTAGGTTGTTTCCAAATAGGATGCTTTAAAGTTGCTAATATTAATCACTGATAATAAGTGGTTTTTATTTCCATTTGTTATAGACTTCAGTGATGGCTCTTTTGTGAGGTACTCCTGAAGATTTCTTGCAATTACCTTCTCTACTATTTGTAGTAAACTGTGATTACCTTGTCTGGTCAAAGTATGTTTCATGTGCTGCTTTTGATTTGTTTTTCAATTTAGAGAAAGAGGGAACTTCCAGCCCGTTGTTGGAAACCACAAGTAGCGAGCTAAGCACCACCAGCACCTCAGGTATTAAGCCATATAACAAGAATTGCCTTTTTGTGGATGTGCCAGTGAAGGTATTTGCTTCATTAGTGAATTACTACTCTGTGCAAGACATAATTAGAACTCTTAGCTTCTTAGAGCCCCCATCTTTGGCAACATTTTTTTTTTCTAATTAAATAGTATATATTTCTTCTCTCTCTCTCTCAAAAAAAAAAAAGTTTTTGTTTTTTCTTGGTGTCTTTTCAGACACCAACCATCAAAAGATGATAGATTGGTAGTTGACTAATGCAAAACATTCTTAAGCTTGAAAGGGAAGAATGTGTGGAATAGTGCAATTATTTTTCAGATAGGGTCATATCAGAAAAGTTATATAAAACATGAAATATTTTTGTGAATCATATTCACATATTTTAAGTATTTAATATATAAAAATATTTATATAATTCTAATCCTATTAAACTTGTCAGCTATTTTTTTTTCCTTTGTTATTGTGCCTTAACATAATGATTCAGCTGAAACAACCTTCCACAAAGATTGTGCTGAGCAATGACTGTTATGGAAGTTTGAACTCGGTCTTCACAACTGAGATTTTGAAAGGGTGAAACAGTGAAGGTTGTACTAATGCTCGATCTGTACCGATTGCAGATGTCTTTTAAAAATAACTTGCCATTACTGACATCTGGTTCTCACTTTCATGATGACTTTACTTTTTTTTTTTTTGCTTTGTGCTTTCACATTAATTGTGGGTTTTGTCAGACTGCTGCTGGCTGGCTGTTGTTCTGGGGTACTTGGCTTAAGTGTATAATTTAAACTAGGACTCCTCACCAGTCTCCATCTTGGACTCTGAGGAATGCGTGAATCTGTTGAAATGTGCTCCAGATCCATTCTCTTGTCTTACAGAGGGAAGTACCAATAATGTGTCTGGCTGGAGTGATGCAGAAAGTAGGATGAGACCACAGCAGCAAAACTCTCTGATTCCTATGATGCTTTCCCCACCAGAATCACTCCTGGTTTCTTGTGTTTTGAGAGGAAATTTCATAGAAGCCCACCAGGTAAATGAGCTGCGTATCTTTCGTGCTGCTCTAAAATCTAATTTGATATTGGCATTTGTTGTTGTGACAGCTAATAAAGTTTATATTCTTTTTGTATTAGCAAGCATAGGGTAAAGCATCTGTTTGAAGTGAAAAAGTGACTTGAGCAGTGGAAATACATGAAAGGAGCAGAGATATGCTAAGATGATGTTGCAACAAGACTATTGTGTGTCTTTTTTGGTTTTTTTTCTCCTCAGTTGTATAAAAACTGCTTCTCTGAATCTGACTTTTCAAAGTATGGAAATATTTGATCAGAACTGACTGAGCTTAGTGAATCAATTGAGTGAAAGAGAAGGTTAAGAGCTCTTATGAAGTCTCTTGAAGAAGCAGCATCTGAGCTGCTTACAGCTGCTGAGCTGTAGTCAGTGAATCAAAATCGTGACTTTGCCCTTTTTAAGCTCAGTGGTAACATGCAAATATGTTCCCTATCCAAAGTGGTGAGTGCAGTTATTGGAGGGAGGTGTGCTGAGGCTGAATTTGAAATAGGCAAAAAAAGTTGTAATTTCCAGCTTGCATACCTGTAATTCGTTGCTCCCACATAGTTTTTCAAAGCATCAGCCCAAAAGTTGATACAGAAAGGTATGGAAAACTATCTTGAAATTCATCAGCAATTGTATTCTCTGCGAAAAGTAGTAACCTGGCTGAGTTTGAGATGATCCTATCACAGCAGTATGTATCATTTAAGCATTGCAAGCGGCCGTTGATTGCCCCACTCTTTAGTTCTGTTTGACTGCAAATGTACTGCTTCATCCTTCCCTTACTTACAGGCCCAAGAAATATCTGTATTACTTTGTTACTTTGAATTTCAGCATCTCTGATGGTAAAGACTTCTAGCTTGACTTCCATTCTGCAAGTAGTTTGATATTGGGAACTTGTACAATTGTGCTTATCTGCTCCCTTTAAGTATTTAGAAGGTATTCTTTGATGAATAAGAACTTGGTTAAAGTTTATCTTGGACAAGCAGCTTGTTGGATTTTTTTTCATTATGTGATATATTGAGATCTTGAAGCATAGTTCTGAAAGATAGACATATTAATTCAAATCTTACCTTAGCACATAATAACTGAGCTTTATAAAATAGTTGAAAATGGTCTCTAAGGCACTGTTCTTCAGGCCCTCCAAACTCCTGAGGGGAGAAATTGCCATTTCAGCTCCCTGTTTCCATGTAAGTAATTTTCAATTGAAGTAGCTATATTGTTATTCTTGAAAGGTGGCTTTGATGTTTAATCTGGATAGTTCGTCTTGCTATGGTGAGCTAGTTTTCATGGAGCGCTACCAAGAGGCGGTACGAGAGATGGCCAGAGTGGAGCACAACATTGAGAATCAAACATCAGATGGCACTGGAGGCATCAGGAGATCTGGCAGTGGCCGTTCAACACTCCAGGCTATTGGGAATGCAGCAGCAGCAGGTAAGGACTGGGTTTATTTAGTTCCCTTCATCAAAGGTGAAGTGGGAAATAGGGAAAAAAGAACTTAAATACTGCATTCAATAAGTGTGCAAATTGTTCAATGGTATAAGGGGGACTTGGAAAGATAGGGAGAATGTTGGAAGTTGCTCTTGAAGCCCTATTGGATTAATTTGATACACTATGCAGGAATCAATCCAGGGAGCAGACCACATACTGAATGACGTTCTGAAAGATATAGGTCCTACCATAAATGTGGTTTTTCTAAGATAAATATCCCATTTAATTAGTGTTGGTGTGTGTTGCTTGCTTATGTAGGCATGGTATTTTATTCCATCTCGGATGTTACTGATAAATTGCTTGCAACTTCTGGAAGTCTTGCCCCAACTCTTCAAGAAAACTTCTGGACCAGCAACATCCAGCTGGAGCATACTGATCCTCTGCGGGAAGTCCTAGAGGACCTCAGTCCTTCAGCAATGGCAGCTTTTGATCTAGCTTGTACTCAGTGCCATCTTTGGAAGACTTGTAAGCAGCTTTTGGAAACAGCAGAAAGAAAACTGTACAATAGCCTTGAAACTCGAGGTATGCTTTTGGTTTTTCTGTTCATCAATAGGGGTTTGGGGAAGAAAGTTGCTTTTATATGAAGTGTTTGTGCAAATACCCGAGTCTTGCTGAAATTTCATTTTATTCTTTCTTACGAATTTCTCCCTTTTACAACTTCCTAACTTTAATTTTTCCTCCTCTGTCCAATGCTTTTTTTAGGCCACAGACTGGACTTTGTTTTAGTGCACTCTGAAGGCCTAAAGGGCTTCCCAGCAGTTCTTCAGCAAATCAGTAAAATTCTCAACTGTTCCTGCGCATCACAAGGAGGGCAGTCTAAGTCAGGTAATATGCTTAGCTGATAAAGTCTTCTGTTTGAGTGTACTTAATTCCTGTCTTCTGTTGAGAAGGAAAATGTAACTTTTTGGAGGCTTTGTTTTTAAAACAGTAGCAATTTTGAATCAACTGTGAACAACTCTAATTTTGACCAACTAGTTGTGCTATGATGTTTAGTTCTACAGGTCTTTTTCTGTGCAAAGACACTGTGTTTTTTGTGTAGCTGTTATTTCTTTCATTCCTTTGTAGAGATCTCAGATGAGAAAAGTGGTCCCTTTCGATGCAGTATTGTAGACCTTCTACAGGCTTGCTACCCTGCCTTGACTGAAGAGAGCATTACTAATGAGATTACTTTATCCCAAAATCTCGATCAGATTCTAAAAGCACTGACCCGTGTTGAACATTCTCTTGGTAAGTTAATTTTTTGATCATGAAGACTAACAAATGCATCTAAACGTTGTGGTTCGTCCTGTGTGGTGGTTTGTTTTTTTTTTTTTTGTTCTTGTTAAGTTATCCGAAACTGAAGTCTATGGGTGCAATCAAAAAAAAAAAAAAAAAAAAAACCTAGTGAAAATGCTCTTTTATGCATGCATATGTATTAAATCACAAATATAAGATACTAAAGTTTATCTCTAATCCTTATAACTCGAGCATTCTTGTCAAGGCTAAAACTGGGAGTTTACCAGAGAAGAGAAGCAAATGTAAATGAGTATATCTGAGGTTGTTACTCTTGCTATCCAGCCCTAACAGGGAATTCTTTAAGTGTATTTTAACCTCACAGCTTATATATAATCAATTTTCTTCTTCCTGTTGCCTTTTCTTTTGTTTTTTATAGACAACAGATGTGTCTTGAATAAAGTTTGTGTTAACACCTCACAAGTAGATATATTTTCAGGGTATTCTGAGCTTGAAAGAGGCAAGGTTACCAGTTTTGATGAACTGTTGATTTTATGCTGCTGTGAAATGTCTATTGTTTCAAACAAAATTTCAGTGCTCAGATTGCAGGCTGTAAATGTAGGGAGGAAATTAAGCTAAACATCTCTCTATATCTGGCATTTAATTCTAACTTGAATCTGTATCTTTTTCTCTTAAACCAGACTCTAAAGGGAGCCTGCTTAGCAGCTTGGTAGAACAGGCCTCTCTGAAACCTGTGGAACTGGAGAAGCATCCAGTTTGGAATCAAACCCAGCTCCTGTTGAAATCTATTGACCAGTACATCCAAACCACACCAGAGAGCAGCACAAAGACAAACTTCCTGAAGACCTTCTTTGACTATATTACTACACTGGCTAGTGTTGTGTTGCGAAGCCTGAATGCAGACCTAGGTAAGTGGCTCCTGCAGGAAAGCCTGACCATAGGTGAAGTTACCCAGGCTGCACAGTCTGGCCTGCTGCTGAAGAACAGCCATGTAAAAACAAATTCTTGCCAGACCTGTCAACTACCTATGCATTGTTAGATTTTTTTTTTCCCTACTGATGATGATATTGCCTTTTTTTCATTAGTGTTTCTTTCTTTGTGTCCAGATCATCCATGGCTAAGACAGTATTTGATTGCAGTAGTGGGAAGATCAGAATAGAAATGTTAAGTGCAGACCAAGATTTTCTTCATTTTAATGGGCATGCACCAGCCCTCCTAAATTCCGAGCATTACCCCTCTAAGGAAAGACTTTGACATTCAGTGGACCAGTGCACTTCACAGAATCATAGAATCATTATGATTGGAAGGGATCAAACTGAAGCATCGGAAGTTCCACAGGAACTTAAGGAAGCATTTCTTCACTGTGAGGGTGACAAAGCACTGGAACAGGCTGCCCAGAGAGGTTGTGGAGTCTCCTTCTTTGGAGATCTTTAAAACCCGCTTGGATGCAGCCCTGTGCCATGTGCTCTAGATGACCCTGCGTGAGCAGCGGGGTTGGACTCGATGACCTCTGAGGTCCCTTCCAACCTTCGGCATTCTATGATTCTATGATTCTATGATTCTTTAGAGATCGTCTAGTCTAACCCCTCTGCACACGCAGAATCACCTAGAACACGTGGCACAGGATTGCATCCAAGCAGGGTTTGAAGATCTCCAGGTTCCACAACTTCTCTTGCCAGTCTGTTCCAGTTTCACCAGCTGCTCAGGTATTAGTGTCCTATAGCCTTAGCAAAGGAAGAATCGACTTTAACATAAAAATGCTACACACACAACAGTGTCTGCTGCCCTGTGCATTGTCCCCGTGTAGTTGTATACACCCTACATACGCCAGTTGCATACACTGCAAACATTTTACTAGTGCCGCAGATTATACATAAATATATATATATATATAGAGAGAGAGAGAGAGAGAGATTGAAAACAAATAAACATCCTACTTCCCAGCTCTCTTAAAGGCAACGTAGGCCCCACTGCTCTAGAGGGACAGGAGGAGAGTGTTCTGGAAGGCTATAAGAAGGTAACGTGACAGAATTTTTATCACTGAATCAAATGATGATGGTGGTTCGTAATGAGAAATGTATCATCAGCGTATGTAGTAGTTATCATTTAAAAATGTTTTCCTTCTAGGATAAAAGCTTTTAAATAGAATTCAGTTTAGAATTCATTTTGCACTAACGCAAAATACCGTGCTACTGGCTTTATACAGAGTAGAGGATAAGGGTAAAGGACAGAGTCATTTTCAGACATGCTGGTATAGCTCAGGCCGCTGTTAAGCCAGTGGTAACTTCTTTATGGATATGATTCAATTGTCAGGGACTTATTGTGAAGACTAAAAAAAAAGTGTGATATTTAAAGACCAAATCTTGTTGCAGTGGAGGCTGAAAGGACAAGGTAAGTTTGAGAATCTGCTTACGCTTACTCAGTAGTCAGTACAAAGCCGTTCTATCAGTTCTGGCCCTATTTGTGTTTTTGTGTTTTTTATACCTCCCCATTGCCATATCCTTTGATCATCAAGAAATGATAAGGAAGATACTCTTAAAACTGTATCCAGAGAATCCTCAGAAACTGTCACTGTACATGTTCCCTCTGCATATGTATGTTTTGGTTAAAACTTGAAGTAAAATTGCTGAACTAAATGTACTTGGATCTCACTTAAAAGGCAATGACACTCCGTAAAGCATTTGGTTCTGATAATGCATCTGGTAAAATGTGAGCCAATGATGCAAAGATGGAAAAACATATCATAAATGCCTTGTAGTTTACTCTGTTTTTTACCTCACTTAAGTGATTTTGGTCCTCTGAATGTGAGCAAAGAAGCTTCAGAGTCAGGCTTTTAAAACTTGTGTTTCTAAAACAAGACTTGGTTGGGATATTCAGCTAACGTTTTTTTCTTATAATAGATGCTCTCTCTTGCTCTATTTTTTCAAGATCCATCTGCAGAAGTGAAAGTGGGGAATCCTTTCATACTGTTACAGCAGAGTCCATCTCACCTGCTCTCCCAACTTGTGTTTGAGAAGCAGGTTCATCCCGACAGGTTGGTGCTTTTCAGATGTGCTTATCTAGATTGATTTAGTGTGAGAGTTTGGATCAATCAAGATTGAAATCTTCTGTGGTTGCTTAGCAGTAAGTTCCACTCCTTTAAAGGAATGGCAGCTTAAGCTCTGAATTATCATCTTTGTGCTGTATAAATTCTCTCATACAGCATAAACCTAGGATTTGGATTCTTCCCTTGTATGTACCTCTGAAGGATGTAAAGGATTTGTGTTTGCAAAATGCTTGGAAGGTTTATGAAAGCAGTTAATTGCCTTGTACTGTTCCTCTGCTTTGGGTGAGCTGTTTCTGTTTTCAATCCTGCAGGCTTGCTTCCCTTTTGGCTAAAGAAGAGTTGAACTTGAATTTACAGCAAGTTATTGTTAACTGTTGCTGTGAGCCACTCTCCTTGTGCAGCACAAGGCAAAACAGCCAGAAAATATCCCTTCTGGTAAACATAAGCAACCTAGCACACCTGTATGCCTACAACTGCTTGCCAGATGTTGAAATACCCATCTACAATCCTGCAAGAGCCTCTGAGGATGACTGCACGCTGGCCACGTCCTCCATGGCTGGCCTGAACCAGAACACGCTCACCACCTCCTCCCTGGACTTCCTAAAGTTGCAGTCGCGGCTAATGGCCACAGTGGCATGTTTAAGTGCAGCAAGTGTACAGGAAGCTCCAAGATCCAGTTTATCTTGGATGGAGTTTTGGGGCAAGCGGGAGGTGCCACTAGGTATGGAGCAGATTTCCAAGGAGTGCGAGGCTTTGTTGAAGGAATTCTCAATCCTGGAGCGATTTCTTCTGATGATGCTTGAGCCGTTTGGAAATCAGCAGGAGGAGGGCAGCAGTTTGGCTAGTGTCCTCTGTGGCAAGGCACACATGTCTCTGGTTCTCTTAGGACTGCATTCCTCCACAGCTGTGGATGAACTCATGGGGGTCTTTGAAGAAGCACTTGCAGCAAAGGATTGGGACAGAGCTCTGAAGGTCTTGGATCTGTACAGCCAAGGTGTGGAGGAGCTGGCCAGTGTGAAGGATGCTGTGCTGAGCTGTGCAGCTGCTGATGGTAAGCAGCGTTATGTGGGGCTGGGGGTGTGGGAGGTGTTTCTTATTTTTTTTCTTGTAAAGAGTACAACTGGGTACAGGGGGTTGAAATTAAGGGCATAGTTGGTGGTTAAATCCAAAGACCAAAAATAATGCCTTCCCTTTCTCTGTCATAAACTTGATTTTGCTGATGGTGTGATTTCTCTGCTACAAATGAGTAAATCTTGACACTAGACTTAATTCAAAAACAATGTACCACAGAACTGGGATGGATCTGTGATATTGTTTATTTGTGAAAAGCGAATGCCCCGGGAGATGTTAATTATAGTACTGTTAGTGGAACTTCTCTAGCAAGATTACTGCTCTCCCTTCAAGGGATGTATGTGTGATGTATTCTGTGAAAGGGAGAACCACTCACTGCGAGTCTAAAGACTGTATGTGTCCCCTTCTGACACTCACTACTTCCTGCAAATATGATGCTGGGATAAGTCTAGCGTGGAGTTATTCGAAGTTTTACTTTTTGTTTTATTTTATTTTTTTATTTTCCTCCTCTGGGTGGGGTCATTCAGTGTGGATAAGGGTTTTCCCTTTTAAACCATAGAAATTGGACTTCAAGCTGGTGGTTTATGTTCTCCCCACATACTTTTCCCACAGGTAAAGATGGTTGGCAGTACTTGTTTCCTGTAAAAGATGCAACGCTGAGGAGCAGGCTGGCCCTGCGCTGTCTAGACACATGGCCCCTTGATGCCTGTTTGGAAATCCTATCTTATTGTGCCTCGGATTTGGACATAACTGGTGAACTAAAATCTGCTCTGCAGAGCAGAAAGAAAGAACTGCAGGTTTATCAGAAGGTACAAAGTTGTTCTGTTGAATAACCAGTAAAACAAATGGGTAACAGAGAGTATGCATGCCCTTAAAAAGCTGTGGATTCCTCTTTCATTGCAATAGCTTCTCAAGTTCTTCATTCAAAACAGATCATGTTTTCAGTGCTGTTTAGTATTGGATTTAATATCCAGTTAATACTGCCTCTCCATCCTTCGAAACTTTTCTGCTCACCTGTTAGACTTCAGGTTTGCAAACAGATCTAAACTTTTATGTGACACCACTCTTTGATTACTGTTTTTCTTCCCAAGTATTTGTTCTTCCAGTGTGTACAAATTCAAGAATCTCTGGAAGCTTTACATGGTAGCTCATCATTTTATAAAAGGAGAGATGTGCCTAGGCATGGTTTGTGGGATAAGTGACCCAATAGAAGCTTTGATTTACAATACAGACAGCCGGTTGCAGCATGATGTAGGTGCCTAAGCTAAGTCAGACTAACTGACCAAAAGTTCAACACAGACAGAAAAGCCAGACCAAGCAAAATGAGGAGTCATGAATTCTGTCTGGGAGCTGTTCTGCTTGCTGGAAGTAACATCAGGTGTATCACTGGTATAGCAGTGCCAACAATGTCAGCAATGTGTGTAGTGTTTTAGTAACTTTGCCTTAAAAATCTCTTTGTGCAGAGGCACTCGTGAAGAACCACAGGAGTTTTTCAGATGTGTTGCTTTTTGGGGTAGAAGTGCCCAGAAGACAGATGGAGATAACAAGGGGTTCATTTATGACTCTTAGTTTCATGAAACTCAGAATGTGATTCAGCCTTCAATTCAGCCTTTTTTTTAGGCTTTATGGTTAATGTGGGTAACTGATTTTAAAATATGTGCTATATTAATTATTTTCAGATAATGAATTTACAAAATGAGCCACTGTGGAGTGACTGGCAGGATCTGAAAAGAGCCTGCACTGATGATCCTCAAACCATCATGGATATCATTCTGAAGGCAAAGGTTAGGCATCCTCATGTGAATATTGTTGAACTAGGATGTGTCACATCTTGAATTGATAAATTTTGATAAAGTATTTTGAAACACTGTTCAAAAGATTACCTTAAAAAATAATTCTTTATTCAGTTCTGTGCTGCAGAAACAGGGGCAAATATGTGTTTAATGTCAGGATTACATGATGAGTCTCCAGTAACTCTTATTCTGAATTGCTGCCTGTTTTCTTCTCTTAAAATTTTGAATTCTTTGGTAGTGTGGCTTTTGGCATATTACAGGCTTAGTTACTTCAGAAATGTCAATGCCCTAGATCACGGGTAGTCATAGCTGGCTTGAGAAGTGTGTGTCTAGAAAGACAGCCTGCCTCCTGGGAGAAATGAGTGTTCTCAATGTGGCCCGTGCTTGTGGCAAAACAAAAACTCCTTTTCTCATTGTCATGTTAATTATTTATGTCGGCATGAGGGAGAAAAATCTAATCTACAGAAGAGCTTGAGAAGTTAATCAAATCTTTGAAAGAAACAGCTTCATTTCAGGAAGCATCTTTTTTGGTTTTTTTGCTTTCTTTATGATCTCTTATTTATTTTTCTAGGATTATGAGTTGTGCGAGGAATGGGGCCACTTGTATCCTGTCCCAAGAGAAAATTTAATAAGCTTTCACCAAGAACACCTCCTCCATTTACTGGAGATGGGAGACCTGGAAAAAGCATTGAAGGTAACAGGAGGACTCTGACTCACATCTAATGGTCAAATTGACGTCCAAACTTTTAAATACCATGAATTGCTCATATCAAAGGAATGATGGAAGAGGGGAACACCCTCTTCATTATAAGATCAATATTCATTGTTATATCAATATTGCATGATGAAGTCTTCAGTTTTATGTAACTTAATGTCAGCAGCTGCTTTTGAGATGCATTTTGGAGCTATTATAGCTCTTAACCCAAACAGCTCAAACTATAGGTAGAGCCGTTAGACTAGACATAGACTTTAGGCCAGTCTCGAGCAATGCTTTTGCTTAACAGTTTATGAGGTTGAGGTTTTTAACCAGTACTATGTTTTTCCTGCAGTTATGAGGGCAGCATTATTGTTTCCTGAAATGTTGGTATTTTTTTCTGAACTAAGAATAGTATTGGAACATGAGACTTGTCAATGTTTTTCTTTTGTTATGTCTCTGTATTGCACATTGGCAAATTGGCTATTAGGTTATATAGTAACTATATTTTTTGGCTTATGAGCAGTTTTCCTCCCCCTCCTCCTTTAAAGGATGACAGTTGCTTAGAGTCCTGTGTTTCACTCAGTCAATTTAAGTGAAAATATACCTTGTCAGTCTAGTTTTGGGATGGAATTGTATAAACGTCTTTATGGTCATTCAAATTAAATGAAAATGCAGGGCTCTTTTATTTGAGAAATTATAAGGAAACCTTTTTGTGCTGCTTAAGCAGAGGAATCAAGAAATGCAAGTTATAACAAAAACTAGTCAGTTGGACATTAGTGCCTGGTATGAATTTGTCTGACTTTAATTAGGGGGGGCATTGCGTGTTAAATAAAATGCTTGTAGGACCATGACAGGGCAATAATCTGTCATGGACTGTGTGATTTAGAAAGCCCTTTCCAGGAGCATACTTGGAACATGCTGCATTTTGTCTGTATTTACAGCTCTTGCAAAGAATAGAAGACCCTGATATTTGCCTCGCCATCAGTGAGCAGTGTCTTGATCAGCACCCCAGCTTGGCAGCCTCTCACTTCCTGGCCAACTACCTCACAACTCACTTCTATGGGAACCTGACAGCTGCACGACATAATGAAATCCAGGCTCTCTACATGGGATCAAAAGTGAGTAAAACTGCAGCATTGTGAGATTTACAGCATTGTATAATTCTATAAATATTTGCCTGCCAGTTTTTAGCAGAGCCATCTTACCTGGGGCCACAGTTCATGAGTCCTCTCCTTTGCTGACAATACCAAAGGAAGATGAAGATGGCTTAAAAGTAGTCTTTCCCTTCCCCGTTTTTGTCGTTCCTATATTCTGAGGTGATAGCAGCTTCCAGTGTGAACAGCATTCTTGTGTCTGTTTCAACTCTGGAGAATGAAGGACCATGCAGCCCAGCAGAAGGAAGTTGTTATATACGGTGCTTGACAGGACTGTTGCTATCTTTAAGTGAAAATGAAAGTATCTTAAGCTTATTCTCTGATATGTTAGAAACACCAGGTATCCTTCCAGTGCTACCACTACAGAGGGAACTCTGTAGTAGTATGGATAAACGTATGCCCATTTGTATAGTGGTCTTTGACACTTAAATATTTCTTCTAAGAAACTCCCACATACCTTCCAAAAGTGGGTGATATTTCTCTTTCTGGACGGTCATTACCTTTACAGGTAATGTAAATGTAAGACTGTATCAGACTTAGTCATACAGAAGGCTCTGTGTTCCACCTAGGAATAAATACATTAAGCAGTAGATGCATATGGAAACAAAATGCAGTCCTTTACATAATAGGCCCTTCTTCTAGGACTACAAATAGCAGATTGCTCCAGCGCTTGATGCAACAATTTTGTTTCATTTCGTATTTGTATATTGTTCCTCTTGGAGGACTTGCTGTTAACTTGGAAAGTGTCCATATCAGCTGATATCAGTGTTTTGGAGAACTGCTGTTTTCTTCTTTCTATGCTTCCTGAAATGGTAGGTGTAGTGAAGAGACAAGAGAGAAAATCTTAAGGATTGGACTAATTATTTAGTAGATTTAGTGAGAGAATAAGCTCTACCCTGCTAGAACACTGCTGTCATAGGGTCACAAAATGCTTTCCATTCTCAGCTTTTTTCTTTCCCCCTCTGAAATGAGGCAGTGTTTTATAGATGTGAATCAAGTCAGGCAGAAGCCAAGTGATTCGTCTGAATCCATCCTGTAATTCTGAAATGGATCTAGGAATAGACCCAAGAAATCCCACCTGTATTTCTTAGCTTCTAAATGTTATTCCATCCTTGCATCATAAGTCATTCTGCTAGTTTCTGATCTTTACTCTTACAAAAACCCAGATTTGGGGATGTATAATTTTAATTTTTTCTAATTGTGTCCCAGGTGTTGCTGACTCTACCTGAGCTCTACCGTGTTAACTACTTCCACCTCTCCTCCAGGCCACTGCTCATGCTGGAGCAGCTCCTCATGAATATGAAAGTGGACTGGGTAGCTGTGGCTGTGCAGACACTACACCAACTCTTAGCTGGACAGGACATTGGCTTTACCGTAGAAGATATTGATAACTTGCTCTCCAAGTATGCAGAAAAAGCCCTTGACTTCCCTTTCGCATTAAAAGAAAAGAGATCAGGTATCTGTCCTTGAAAATGCTTTTTTTGCCCTTGGGCATGAAGGGCAAATTTTTCTCCAAAATCATCTTGCCAATTGTGCCCATGGCATTTTGAGACATGTCTCTCTCTCCCTCCTCATTATGCTCATTATGCTCTTGCTTCCTTGTAAGTAGAATGATCTTAGGCTTGTAAACTTAAGGATCAACAGCTCCAAAAGTTTCTCAGACTTTACTCTGTTGCTCCTTTTCAGGGTCTCCTTTCTTGTAATTCTTGTTTATTTCTGTGTGATGTAAAATAACAGCCAACTTAAGCAGTTCTAATGTCCCTCACTCAACTGCATCTCCCCTAGAATCAAATGGACATTTAATCTTTCATACTACTTCCTCCTTCCAGGTCTCTGTACCTTTTTATATGACTTTTAAACTTCTAGTTCAATTAATTAGCTTTGCACAGCACTGTTTTACCAGCCCCTTCTCATCCATGCTAGCTTCAGTTCTCCTGGGCTTAACTCTGTGGTAATTATGGAACCTGAAGAGCAGAGGGTGCTGCAGGTGAAGTTCAGTGCTTCTGTTAACCATGTGCACACACAGATTCACAGAATCACAGAATATTTAAGGTTGGAAGGGACCTCTACAGATCATCTAGTCCAACCTTCCTGCTCAAGCAGGCACACCTACAGCATGTGGCACAGGGTGGCATCCAGGCGGGTTTTGAAGACCTCCAGAGTAGGAGACTCCACAACCTCCCTGGGCAGCCTGTTCCACTGCTCTGTCACCCTATGTCTTTCACAAAGTGTAGCCCACAGCTGTTCACTGCCCACACGCAATGTCTTTCACAAAGTGTAGCCCACAGCTGTTCATGAAACGTGAATCGTTGTGGGCTTCGTGAAAGATGTAATAATTTGTTACATAGCTAATCCTGTTTTGTGCTAACATTCGTATGTGCTGCTGTGAATGGACTCTTGTAATCTTCCTATACGCAGTTTAGATTTATGACCGATGATATTGCCTATTTCTTCCTCTGTTCTAGATTCTGTCATACGTATGCAAGAGAGTCTCAATCAAATATTGGAGTGTGAAGCACTGTCTAAATCAGGATCACCAGAACCATCTTATGCCAACTTTACTGGTAACATTGGGGTCTCGGTGCTATTTTATTTCAATGTGTTTTTGCTTTTCTGATTCCTTACTTGTCTCTGAACTCTGCATTCCACCATTTAATAGTAACTTTGGTCATATTTAGCACAGGTCAGTAGATCTCTGCAGTTGAGTGCTTTGAGCCAAGTTAAAAGAAAACTTGAAAGGAGTTAAGGGATGGCTTTGTTTTGGGATTTGGTAGATACCTGCAAAATGCCTCAGAAGTGATGAGCCTGAACTAGAGCTCTACAGTGATGTATCTTGATGGTGAGATGTTGACAAGACCTAGTCTTAGACATCTAAAATTTTAATCATAAATGCCTGCTGATAAATAAGCAGCAAGTCAGATAACTTCAGTAAGTCTGTATTATTTTCTGTTCTTCAAGACTCTTAAACAGCTAAAATTCCACTCTTTGCTTGTCTTTCTGGGGTCTTTTAAGGCATTACTCTATCTGCAAGCTCCAGAGACAGAAGTCTGCAGCAGAATTTGCCTCCTCAAGAATTTGTGCCACCTGAGAAGCCACCGCCAAAACAGCAATGGATACCTGATGACACTGAGATGATATGTATGGTCTGCAAAACCGAACGCTTTACTATGGTAAGGAACAGAGATTAAGTACAGGCATTTCTAGAATTGTGATCTTAATGTAAACACTTGCTCAGATTCTGTTTCTTAATAGCTACTGGCTGCTTCAGCAAGTTGGCCTGAAGTAATGTAGGTTTGCCAAGACTCAACCTTTTTAGCCGTTAGTTTCTGTCATGTTAGTGAGACAAATGGCCACAGTGGAGACAATGTTAACTCTGTGCAGAGCCTCAGAGATCTCTCCCTGAGGCTCCTATGAGAATGTGGAGATTGGTCGTGGTAGCAGTTTCACAGGGCTGTCTAGGTGACAGTGCTGGCTGCTACAGATAACATGAGCCATGAAATAAGTCAGCTTGCCCATACACAGGAGAGTCAACTTTGTTTACACTTTTCTACAACTGGTGTTGTGTGAATTACTCAAGTAAATACAGAGATGCAGTTAGAGAGAAAATTAGTTCTGAGTTCTGTAAATGTTTGACAGTCTCTTTTCTGTTGCTTACAAACAGCACTGCTTCCTCAAAGCTATGTTGCTTTTAAATTTTGAAATGAATAATACGTTGTCAGAAAGATAGTCTATAACTCTAAACTTTTTCAAGAGATTATCTAAATTGATCACTGATCTATTTGATCTCTGTATGATCAATATTGGAACAATTAGGAAGTCCAACACTGCAGCAAGCTTATCAGTTGCTGTTTTTTCTTTTCCTTTGCTATGCCTTCCCCAAAGTGGAATTGTGGCCGTCAGAATCAATCACTATAGACTTTATCGTGTGCTCTGTTGTTTTGCTTTGAATATAGTAGACTGCCTCCTGCATGGAGGCAGATATAGAAGGGAATTGTATTCACTTCTTTCAGTTGCTCGTCCATGACCTCTTGTGCTTAGTTCAACAGGCGTCATCACTGCAGGCGCTGTGGCAGGCTAGTGTGCAGCTCTTGCTCCACCAAGAAAATGACAGTAGAAGCTTGCAGAGAGAATCCAGCTCGTGTATGTGACCAGTGCTATAGTTTCTACAACAGGGAACATCTGCCTGGCTCTGTACAAGACACAAGCATGTAAGTCCTTTCAGTGTAGCTCTTTGTAATAGCTGAGTGCATCAGTTAATTGTTAAACTTAAGAATTGAATGCTTTAGTGTCAAATATTCAGAACAAAATAATTACAGTAAGTATCTGAATTGCTTGCACTGCAAGCAAGTTCATGATTATGTAGCTTTTGAAATTGGAACTGTGTCCTTAGTGAAAGAACTAGCTGGGCTGAGAGACTTCGGTTTTGATTGCTTTCAGCTGAGAACTGGAATGAAATTCTCAGAGCACAGGTTAGGTCACCTGGTGAAAAGCGCAGCTGTGAAGAGTGGCCTTTATCCTCTGGGGAGAAGGGTTGGGGTGAGCAGTGTTCTGAAAAGGTTAGCTATATTGATCCCTTCTTAAAAATTACGTTTTTCCCAGTGTGCTGGATCAGGCATGATGTTTCTGTCTTTCTATTACAGCACAAAAGAAGATCAGGACCAAGCAGAAGGTGAGGAATGGAGTAATGTTAAACTTTAAGTGAAAGTGCCTGATTACTAGCATAACTTACAGGAGTCTGCTACATCTACTTGCCCCTCTGCTCAGCTCTGGTGAGGCCGCACCTGGAGTACTGTGTTCAGTTCTGGGCACCCCAGTATAGGAAGGACGTGGAGCTTCTGGAGAGGGTCCAGAGAAGGGCAACCAGGATGATTAAGGGAATRGAACATCTCTCGTACGAAGAGAGGCTGAGTGAGCTGGGCCTGTTTTCTCTGGAGAAGAGATGGCTCAGAGGGGATATGATTAATATKTATAAGTTCAGGAAGGGAGAATGCAGGGAGGAAGGGGACARGCTGTTYTCAYTGGTGGCCAGCGAYAGGACGAGGGGTAATGGCCACAAGCTGAARCAYAAGAAGTTCCGTCTCCAGGTGAGGAGCAACTTCTTTACTGTTAGGGTGACAGAGCAGTGGAACAGGCTGCCCAGGGAGGTTGTGGAGTCTCCTGCTCTGGAGGTCTTCAAAACCCTCCTGGATGCCACCCTGTGCCACATGCTGTAGGTGTGCCTGCTTGAGCAGGAAGGTTGGACTAGATGATCTGTAGAGGTCCCTTCCAACCTTAAATATTCTGTGAATTCTGTGAATCTAAATGTAGAAAAAGGATGATCAAGCCTCAGTTTAAAAAATACCACTGTTTTCACAAGAACAATCTAAAATTGGGTGTTCTAAATTTCTGTAAATGTAAATTATGATTTAAGAGAGGTGTCAGAGCCAATAATGAACAAGCTGGATGGCTTTAAGGGCAGGAACTGAAAACAGCAATTGGAGAAGGCACTTTGCCCACTAGTGGCAGTCAGTGAAATGTTGGACTGAGAGAAATTATCCCAGTGCAGAGCAGTGCTGGGAGATGCTCTTTCCAAGCATACTGTGGCAGTATGTGGCACAATAGCACTGTCCTTTGTGGACATGCCTGATACTCAGTGCTGGCTGGGGGAAGCACAGAATGAGACTCCTCTGGTGGGTGTCCCAAAACCCATCTCCTTTGCAGATTGTGTGGAAATGTTTCTCTCCTTTGCCCAATCAATTTCTGCATCAAGTATCATGATATTTCAGGAGGAGAATAAAGTTCTATTGAAGTTGTCAGCAATTTTCCTCAGCCATTTTACCTCGAGATGTTTACTCTTTCTTTGTTCATCTGGTTTTGGTGAGGTGATTGAGGAAATCTTTGCTTGAAAAAATAATTTCCCATGCTGACATAATAGTCTGGCAAATCCCAACCATTGTTACTTAAAGTATGGCTAGTGTTCACATGCAGCATAATGCAGAACTTGCATAGCAAGTGCAAGAACAGCACAGAACTCCTCAGATTGAAGAGGGAGAGTGTTCTGTTCTGCTGCTTTTCTCGTTTCTCTGCTGGGACTATGAAGAAGTCTTACCTAAAGTTTTCAGGCCTGTTACAAAAAAGCAGATTTTCTTTAGTTCTTAATTTTCCAGGAAGAGGAGGTTGATCTAGAAAATGGCTTTCTTCATTTTTCAGCACTAAAAGGTTTTGCCTTGCTTTTTTGCTAGGAACCACAAGCATGAGCAGTAACAGGCTACTGCCTGCTAGCTGCTCTTGGTTGGCAGACATAATTTCTAACTATTCTCTGTTAGGTTTGGAATAGTGTATGGAGTTAACTTCCTGTAACCCTTTATGTGAAAGCAGTTTATCTGAATGAGCTTCTTTTTAGAAAGAAGACAATTAAGTCCATGTAGCCTTTCTTCTTACAATGGGTGCTTCAGTTTCCCTTTTTAGCTGTAATCCAAAGCTCGCTTAATTCCACATCCTTCCTGATCAGAAATATTTAATACTTGGGATGATGCAGGACTTAGAGGAGGTTGCCATGTTTGATATCCCACTGGATAAGGTTTGGATATTGATCTTAATTTGTATTGTTAGAGTCATTTCTTAATGAGCAGGTAAGGGAGCGTCTTTGGATCCAGCTTGGCAGTGCTGAGGAATGAGAATACTTCTGTAGTTGTGTGCAAGATGTGAGGCTGAGAATTGGTGCAGTGAAAGGACTGTAGATAACTACTTGAGAGTGTTGGAATAGCCCTATATGATGTTCCCTCAGCTACCTTGGTTGCCTCTTGTGTGATGCTGCTGCCTGTTCTTTCCTTTACAGCCACGGAGGCGTCTACTAACAAATATACCACAGTGGTGCAAATTCCTGAAACAACTGAGCTTGAATGGATTGTGTCCCTCAATGAAGAAGAAAATGAAATTGTACGCAGTGAATTTTATTATGAGCAGGTGAGATCAGGAGAAGGACAGTCCAGACAGTTCCTTGAATATTTTCCTCAGCACTCATGTTCATTTTTCTCCTTAACTGTCAGGCTCCCAGCTCTTCCCTGTGTATTGCCATCCTCGGTCTGCACAGTGATAGCGTGGTGTGTGGCCACCAGTTGATAGAGCACTGCTGCAAACTCTCCGAAGGGCTGACGAACCCGGAGGTGGATGCAGGACTGCTTATGGACATCATGAAACAACTGCTTTTCAGTGCCAAAATGATGTTTGTTAAAGCTGGAAGGAGCCAGGATCTGGCGCTCTGTGACAGGTGATTTTTCACTAGGCTGTGTCAAGATCCTGCAGACTCTTATGCTTTTATACAGAGGAGCAAAGGAGAAGGAGGGTTGATTTGTGGTTGTAGTGCAGGCATTTTAAGCAACAAGAGAAGTTCATAGCATAATACGAAAGCTCAAATAATGCAAGTTCAAGTCTATCTAAGGCTACATAAAAACTACTGATAAAGTCCTCAGAGTAGGAAGAAATAATACATACCAGCCGGGTAAATATGCTTTCATCCACTTTCTCCATGTAGGATTTAAAACCCCCACTTGCTGAGAGCTAGCATGTTATTTGTTCCTCGAGCTCTGTCTCACTGGTGGTGGCAGGCCGGATGCAGTGCAGAAGGTTTCCCCATGCTGGTTCAGTTTGGTGGTGTTAGCTATTGGTGCTCCCCTGAATGAAAAGAAATGGCAAAAAGTAGCCTAAATAGGACAGTGTGAGGAACAGACCAAGCTGGTATGCTAGTGATTACGAACCGTTGTTCACAGAGTTGTCTTTGGCATAAAATTGTTGAAGATTCTTAGTGTACATAATAGCAGTGGTAGTGTATGTATCTGTTTAACCTGTTTCTTTTCCTAGCTACATCAGCAAAGTGGATGTGTTGAATATTTTGGTTACTGCTGCCTACCGTCCTGTGCCATCTCTGAATCAGATTCTTCTCCCTGCAGCGGTAACAAGACTAAGAAATCAGCTTTTGGAAGCAGAGTATTATGAATTAGCTATAGAGGTAATGACAGTAGCAGGATGCAAGTACTAGTAATTCTGCAGTGACCCTTCTTTTCCACCTCTACCTTAGTTCAGCTGGATCTTGTGTGTGAAGTAGACAATGTTTAGGCTGTTACAGATGGGGATTAAGTTCTTATGCAATGAAGGAAACCTTTTCTGAACGCTTGAAAAAAAAATCTGAGAGGAAAGATGCCTTCTGCTGTGGAGCAGCCTGCTGGGGGCAAGAATAGGGGATGTGTCTCGTGCTGCAGTTAAAACTGGAATGGGCAAACTGTGAGAGTTACTGCATGGAGGAATTTGTAGCACATCATTTGTGGCAGGACTTTATCTGCAATTTGTTTGTTTGATTTCCTGTGTCCTTAATACTGCAGCAGATACTGTTCAAGCAGCTTTTCCAAGTATTTTCTTGGACTACAGCTATGGTGGGATATTTATCTATGAGAGCTCATCTAGTGTGGCTCTTTTTCTTTTATCTTCCTCCTCCTCTCAGTATTCAATAATCCTCTGTATATGGCATTGAAATTTGTTAGGAAGAGGATTATGGTGCCACAAACAGGATGAGTGTTTTTTAAAGGGAAATAAACAGCAGAAATGGGTGACCTATTTGAGTTTAAAAAAAAAAAAAAAAGTTCATGGTTTTAAAGGCAGCTGATCTACTAGAGAAATTCAGAAATAGAAAAAAATTGCAGTGGTTCACAAAGTATTGATATATCTATGGAGAGTTCTGCTGCTGTTTTTAAACCATAAACCTGATTCATTCTTTGTAAAAATCACTTGTTTTATAAGAAATCTGTTTCTGATGTGAAAAGTGTCATGAGTTTTGAAACTGTTGAACTGAAACGTCCTGGACACGTGGTTAATTAAACTTGAACAACCACAAAACTTTCTTCTGCCTTTGGAGGTCACAGATATTTCAGTAGTTAGCATTTAGTGCCAGTAACATAGGAATAGTTGGTCAATGTAGGGTTTTTTTTTTTTGGTTGGTTGTTTCAACAAGAAATGTCTTTAAGGAAGTGGAAGGTCATATGCTGTGTTGCATGTCCCCTTTTCCTATATTCTGTATGGAAACCATTATCCTATTGATGATTTTTGATCTTAGGTTTCTACAAAATCCGGGTTGGATCCAAGTGGAGCATGGCATGCCTGGGGCATGGCTTGCCTTAAAGCTGGGAATCTAAGTTCAGCAAGAGAGAAGTTCAGCCGATGCCTAAAGCCACCTGTGGATCTAAACCAGCTGACCTATGGCTCAAGGTTGATCCAAGAGGTGATACAGTATCTGGAGTCCACAGTGAAGCCCATACACGTTGTGGTGAGTGCCTTATGTTCTATCTATAGGCCATATAGTGAAGTTTCCCAGACTTGTTCCAGTATTTTAAAACAAGCCTTACAACAGTATGTTAGAATATTGAGTATCTTGTTTCTCCTTTTTGTCATGATTATGCATCACAAACTGCATCATGTTGAGAAGCTCATTGGCTGCTTCCTGGCAGTAAGTTGATGGTTGATAGCTCTGTCAGAGAATTTTTGCAGTAACTTGGAGTTACTCTGTGGAAGGAAAAGAGGCTGATACAGATTGAGGAAACTGAACTCCACGCAACTTGGTAGGAATTCAAAGGAAAAATGACAAACGCAAAGCACGTTGTCCTGCTTATCTTTGCTTGGTAGAAAGCTCTGTTACATGGCTTTGGATTAGCTCAGGAAGGTCTAGTTAGGTACCAAAATAAAAGACTTTTAAGGCTAAGTTGCAAAATTGCATTGACTAAAGAGCTTTTAGTAGTAAACATTCTAGGAGAATAAGAAAGCCCTTCTGGACCAGCTTGTTGACATAGGTCTTGAAAGTAGAACTTCTTTTAAATAAACAAGCTGCTTGTCTGTCTTTGGAGACACAGCCATGCTAGCCAAAGCTACATTCAACATCTGTTGAAAGCAGAATTAAATTCTAGTATTAATTAAATTTAATTCTAGTATTTACAAAAAGCTCAGGCTTAGGTGACAAGATCTAGTAGAAAAGAATTTCAAAGAACTTTTCAGAGAACGTTTTCCTGCTAGTTATTACCTGTTACTGGTTCTCTGCTTTGAGAGCAGGATGATGACTACTTTGCCACGCTGAGGGAACTTGAAGCAACACTGAGAACAAGAAGTCTGTGTCTGGAGCTGGCGTGTGAGGGGAAGATTCAGCACAACAGTTACTACCAGGAGTGCCTGTTCTATCTTCACAGCTATGGCACTAATTTAGCAATAATAAGCTTTTACATGAGGCATGACTGCATGCGAGAAGCACTGCTTCACTTGCTAAATAAGGTGAGTAAGCTAATTTGCCATCTCCTAAACTGGAATTGGAAAAAAAAGGGCTGAGGGTGCCTCACGACCAGTCTGAAATGGCAGCAAGTGTTTTGCAGCATTATGGGTAGTTTTCTGCATCCAAGTTTGGAGGTCCTCAGGATTATTGCATATACTAACCAGTGGCTAAAAAGAATTTAATGTCATGAAAAAATAACTTTTATCTTAAGCTTTTGTACTTGTGGAGTGCCTTTTAGTTGCTTTTTACTGTCTCTTTAGATTTGAAATAATTCTTACTGAGAAATACTACTTGAAATGCTTCATCTGCTATCTTCTATCTGCTAATTTGGTAGGAAATTATTTAAGTGATCTTACCAGCTTTGCTTTCTTTTTATATCGTTAGCCATTCTAACCTTATGGTCTCATCTGCTTATCAAATATCTTTTCAAATGTGTCCTTTAATCAATTTAGATATATCTTTAAAGGAAGTTTAATGATTTTACAATGTGGGTGAAATAATTATCAGTAGTTTAGTAGATGTTCAAAATACTCTACACGAACTAGTTGATGTGGAAGCATCATTTTGAACATGGGAAAATAACGCTGATTACAAACCAGAGAGGAAGGGTTGTTAGTTTAAGACCATAGTGTACTAGGTTTCTGATGAAACACTGTAATCTTTCTTCAGACAATTCTGCAGTGGGGTTTTTGAAAGCTTTTTTATGTATACAGGCTTTATGTAGCTTATATCTTACCTTGGAGTTAAAAAATAAATAAAAAGGGAGATTCAACAATTTCATATGATACTTTTATTTTTTTATGCAGACTGTGTGACTTCTGTCCTTATTCATACATGGTGTTGTGTTTGCAAGAAAACTAGCCAGGAAGGTCAAGGGAAGTAAATATCCCTCTCTGTTCTGCTGTAAGATTTCATCAAAAGGGTTGTGTCCAGTTTTGGACTCTCCAGAACAAGACAGACATTGACAAACTGGAGCAAGTTGCATGGAAGGCAACTGAGATGATTAGTGGATTGGATCACTTGATACATGAGCTGGGTTTGTTCAGCTTGAAGAGAAAGCTGAGAGAGAGAGCTGTTTGCTCATGTGAAGTGTACGCAGTAAAAGGGCAAGCGATGGTGGACACAACTGGCATCAAGAGAAATTCCAACCAGATAAAAAGAAAAGGATTTTGTAGGTGGTCAGACATGGGAACTGTCCCTCAGGGGAGCTGGAGAATCTCCATCCTTGGAGATTCTCTGGACTAACCATGTCCTGGGCAATGTGTCCTAAGTCCTTTGAGTGGAAGCTCTAGGCCTGTGGAGATCCTTTCCAGCCTGTATTATTGGTTGGCTGTATGACCTCTGTCACTTGATGCTCCTTTATGTTATAAGAGGCAAACCTAGGTGCCACAGCTGCTTTGCTTCTAAATACTCCTCTGATATTTGTGTAGGAATCCCCAGCTGAAGTGTTCATTGAAGGGATCTTCATTCCAAGTTATGAAAGTGGAAAACTGCATATGTTGGAGAACTTACTAGAAACTATCGATCCGGGCTTGGAGAGCTGGGGATCCTACTTGATTGCAGCCTGCAAACACTTGCAGAGAAAGAACTATTACCATATCCTATATGAACTGCAACAGTTCATGAAGGTGAGTGAATAGTCAACCCTTTCAGTGAAATAGTGAATGCCATCAGGCTTCAGGTTATTTACTTAGGTGCTTTTTGAGAAGTGGTGTGAATCAGCATGATGGGAAGTAGATTATTGCTACTTTCCAATCCTTAAAAATAAGGAAACTTTGAGCCAGACTGAAGCTGACCAGCTGTGCATTGCTATTGTGGCCTTGTCATTGCTTAACTGCTGCTTTAAAGATAACAGCACCACCTTCCTTGTGCCAGTACTTTAGTATTGACAAAGGACTAATGAAAGCAGTTTATTTCAGTCCTCTTGAAGTATTCCATATATTTCTTCTAGGATCATGTTCGTGCTGCCATGACCTGCATTAGGTTTTTCACTCATGGAGCAAAGTCTTACACAGAACTGGGAGGCAAGCAGGCATGGCTCCTAAAGATCAAGGATCACCTCAAAGTCTACCTGCAAGAGGTCTCGAGAAGCTCAGGGAGGAAAAAAATGGTATTCACCTTCCGGAAAAAAATGTCTGCTACAGATGTGTCAAGGTACCTATAGACAGGAACTGGGTTACAAGAAACAGGGCAGGTTGAGACTTTTTTCTTTAGTGGTAGTGTTCAAAGTTCGTTTAAGGCAACACCTGCGTGCTGCACGTGACCCAAATCTGCCTTTATCTCGTTGCAAATGTAGGATTCCCATTATCGCCCTCTGCCCCCCACCTAAACCTGAAGATGAGCCATTGCTTTTACTGAACTTATCAACCTGTGTATCTTGTAACTTCCTTTAAAAGACAAGAGAAGAAAAAGCTGCACTACACAGACAGCAATAGTGAGCTAGTTAAGCTTGCCTGAATTATAATTCAACTACATGTGAATTACAGGAGCTAGACTTAACTAAATCTCTTCATGTTTAGAAGTGGAACTGTAAGTTTAGCCAGATCTCCTGTGCTTGGTCTTTTATTTCTTGGTTTTACCTAGTGACAGTTCTTCCACTTATTTTTGCTTTTTTAGGGCTAGACCCCCAACCGAAGTAGGGGACTGTGTGAAAAGGTGGAAAAGAGAGGGAGTAGATACTTATATTTGGGATCCAGATTATCTGGCTCACCCCATAGATGCCGGCTTACATAAGCTCCTACACTAATCTGATAAGTACCTTGTGGCTGCAGACTAGGCTGCACCAAAAACAAGGTCAAACAGCAAACAAAATAATGGTTGTTTTGAAAGGAGTGTGTGTGTGTTTGTGCATGTATGTCTTATTTGAAGATGTGTTCTAGAAAGTAAGTTCACACAATTAATAGTTGATACTTCCTCTATTTAAAGATAAAGCTTTCTTTCCCCTTTTTCCAGACATATCAATACAGTTGAGCTGCAGATGGAAGTAACAAAGTTCCTGCACCGATGTGAGAGCTCGGGAACCTCTCAAATGACAGATGCTTCCTTGCCTACGCTCTTTGGAAACAATAATATGAAAATGGATGTTGCTTGCAAGGTACCTGCTGCTGCTTGATATGTAGCTCTTATTTTCATAAACGGCACCAATTCATGAGCAGGTTGAAATGTTTGACACTTGGAGGAGCTTCTGGTACTGCTCATGGGAGGCTTGCTTCTGTGTGTGTGCAGCCGACTGGTTATGGGAAAAACTATGTCTTATTTTTTTCCTCAAAACAGCTGAGAACTTGGAGCTACTCTGCTCAAAATTCAGATCTTCAGAGGCAAAGGATACCAAATGCCAATAGTGACATGTCTATTTTTCTGTTGTACATCTTCCTGTGTTTTGAAGCAAGGCAAACAGTGCTGCTTTTGATACCCTTGCTAAGTTCAGCTTAGCCTCACCTTTAGCTTACTCCGTGTTACCCAGTGAATCAGAGGGTGTCAGTATTTGCTCTGTCTCATGACTTGTCTTTGGCAAAGCTACTGTTTTCAGGCTAAGTTCAGAACCAGGAGCAAGGCTGCTATTGCTTAACCCTGTGTACCAAAAAAATGAATATGTATCCTGAAACTTGAATGATGCCTCTCTTTTTCAGGTCATGCTAGAAGGAAAAAATATTGAAGAGGGATTTGGGATTGCCTTCAGAGTCCTTCAGGTATGGAAAAAAAATGATAGAAGGAGAATTGTTGTTACAAAAGAGGAAGCCCTGCAAACAGCAATGGTTTAAGTAAAAGACTTTACCAAAGGCCTTTTAATTCCTAAAAGAGACAAAGTGTTGAGAAAAGTCATCAGTTAAGTCTTAAATTGTCCTTGTATTCAGAGGAATGTGTTTTGGGTCAAGTAATTAAGATTCTGCTTCAGCAGGATACTGCCACGGTAATTGTCGCACAGAGGAATCGAGTGTGGCTGTTGTTTTGCCTTGCAGCTTGTTCAGTGGCTTGTGTTGGCCAAACACAGTCACATATGTGAGCTGAGAGCTTTGACTTGGCAGTCACAAACTGCAGAGACCTGCAATACAAAGAGAAAGGGAATAAATAAGGCCAGGGCTATCTCCCTACTCCTCCCCTGGCTAGGCTTAAGAGCCAAGATACTTAAATGAAAACTATCTTTGGAGACCTGTCCACGTCTATGCTTGTTGAGAAGTCGAGGTGCTTGTCGGTCATTGTAGCCCATTAGCCTCTGACCTTTTTGTGCCAATATAACCAAGTATTAGGAGTTTCTAAAAATACTCCTTCAAGCAGAGCAGGGTGGAGTTGCCCTCTGTGTGGGACAGAGGTATGGAAGGTTGCTCATGGGCAGAGGGGTCTCGCTGCAGGACGTGCCTGTCACCTGCTGTGTTTTTGGCTCATGCACATGGCCCTGCTGCCTCTGGCAGGTCTGCATGCACAAGGCAGCACTACTCTTTGGAGTAAGAGATGGAGAGCCTTAGTAAAAGGGCATTTCTTAGCAGCTGGAACAGTCATTGCCCACCCTGGCAATGGAATAGCAAGTCCAGCTCGCCAGCATCACCTCTGCTTCTTTCCATTTATTTCTTTTCCTTCCATACAACGACAGGGTCAGTCCCAGGTTTTGCTCTCTCCTCCCTCCTATGGGATGTGTGCTGTGGCCAGGTGACACTGAGTCCCAGGGCGCTCGAGGGCTGGCTGCCGCTGGAGCGGCCTGGGAGACCTGGCAGGAGCTCCGGAGGCAGGAAGGGGGCTCTGCCCTGTATGGAGCCTTTGCCTAGGAAAGATGCTTGGCCAGAAGCTAAACTCCCGTGTGCCACCCCAGAAGGGGAGAAGGTAACAGTGCCCTCGTTCTTGAGCAAACGTGGATTTTATTGGTTTGATTGCGAAGAAGCTTTGGGCCAGTCCTGAGCTGTGGTCACTGGGCAAATAAAAGCCCCCAAACAGCTTTAGCTTTTTGGAGCACCCTGTGGTACTTTGTCTTGAGCAGAGATACGCTGCTGTACAGAGCCTGCGAGAACTTGAGGAGGGCATTCACCGTGTTGCTCTGATGTTCCCACCACCTTTAGGACTTCCAGCTGGAGGCTACCGAAGTGTACAGCAAAGTGGCCAAGCAGCTGGTGAAGCAGCAGAAGTACAGCGAGATCCGGCAGCTCCTCAAGTGTGTCAACGAGTCTGGAGCTGCGGCCAAGAACGATGGGGATAACATCATCCTGAGCTGTCTAAACGAGTCCAAGAGCATTCCTGCTGAGGTAATGCTATCCTGCCATGTCTCTGCTGTTGAAGTAAAACAGGATACAGGGAAGCCATCCAGAGGTTGCCCCTCTAGCACCTCCTTCAAATCGTCTGGCCCTGTGCCACGTGCAGTGTTGAAAGATGGGAGTGCTCTGGGTGCTTCATCTTTAGTTACGCTGAGAAGAGGCAGTAAGCAGCCATTGCATGCTCCTGCTGTCCAAATGAGTACCTGTAACATGGAGAAAACCTTTGCCCAGCAGGATCCTGCCCTTCCAAGAAGCTTCCCTGGCCATCACAGATGAGTTTGTGGAAACAAAGAATTCCTGTCTTCATAGGAAACAATCATAAGAGGAGGGGATTGGAAACTGCAGTTGTCCTAGGTGTGAACACTTCTTTCCTTTTCTTTGGTGCAGGATCTTGATAATCTGATTCAGGATATGGACAGTGATGAAAACAAGGTAAGTAAAAGCACAGTAGCAAATGGTTTAGGAGGCGCTGAAGAGCTCAGTTGTAGTCGGCTGGCTACATGCTCTTTTCCACCTGATCTTCCAGCCTGGCTTGAGCAGAAGTTTTGAAGGCCACTTGCCAGATTATAAAAGTCAGTCTGTTCCTCGAGGCTGTGGTGCTTGTCACTGTGGCTGTGGCACAAAGACATTGATTGATGTTACCCTTACTAGTTCCTTGGCTCTGCTTGGAGTGGGAGCTGGGCGCTCATTACAGGGGAAGGCAGCACCTTGCACGTCCGTGTCTGTGTGAGCTTCCTGCAGAGGCAGGCAGACGAGAAGGAGCAGTGTGCTCCCAAGATGAGCGCTTCAGCTCCCTGTGTCTTCAGGATTGTGCTTTTTCCAGTGTCGGAGAGTTAATTTTAAAACTCACCGATCTGGCTACATTTGTCACCTGAGAGCCCCAAGCTACTTTGTCAGCTTTTTAATATCAGCCTGTCAAACCACTGGAGAGTCCCAGATGCATGCATCTGGATCTGAATATTTTTGTAGGTGAAAAGGCTGTGGCTCTTAAGAGTGGATCCTCACAGATCACGTGAGGGATCAGTGACGTAGCTGGGCATGCTTCTCTGACCCCCCCCTCTAAATAATAAAAGTAAATGTTTTATGCAGATTGAAAAAATGCTCTTTTCATTCTGCACTTCTGCAAGGTTCACTGCTGAAAGGTGTGGCCTCTTCAAGGATGAAGCTGTAGATGAAAATGACTATTCCAGAATCTTTGATATGAGAGTAGGAAAGTTAATGCACAAAAGAGGATTCCTGATGTTGATTTCCTAGAGATACTGTAAGGGAGTTCCTGTAAGAGACGGTGTCTTAAAATAGATGAGTTTATCTCTTCCAGTGAATTCTGCTCCATGGAGCATTCTACTTCATAACGAGCTGCCTGTGTCTTCAGTGACAGCTTCTGTGCCACACTTTTCCGGTGAACCTGTTCTTGAGCCTGTTGCAAGTTCTGTTCCTCAAAGAGCCGTGCCGGCGCTGTCTGTTCCAGATCCAGGCCTACCTGCTGTGCAACAAGCTGCGCTCTGCCTACCTGGTGTCGGTGCGGCAGGAGGCGGCGCGGGCCGTGCAGCTGGTGCAGCACGTGCGGCAGCTGGCGCAGAGCGGCGGCGACGACGTCGTGCAGGCCATCTGCGCCCAGTGGCTCCTGGGCCACCAGCCCCGAGCGCGCGGCCGCCCGGCCCACGGCCCCAGGAAGTAGCCGCTCTCGGGCCTCCTCCGGGAAGGGCTCGACTCCCCCGGCTCCGCGATCCTGTGGTGACAGGGGGGTCTCTTGGAGGGTGCTGGTGGCCAATGGAAGCTGCTAATGATCCTCTGGCGAAAGGAAGGGAACTAACGTACAAGTGCCAGGGCTTCTTGCTACCTCAGGGTGTTTTCTGGCCTCTGTGTGTGCGTCTGTGTGTGTGTCTGTGTGTGTGTGGAGACTTTCAAACTGAACAAATGAGACGTTTTAGCTTTATGGAAGAAGGCACTCATGTATTTTAGGAAGATAATGATCTTTTGGTCATGGTTCTTATTTTTAACCCATAAAACCTTCACAGAGAGGATGGTAACATCTCATCAGTATGATGTAGCCTAGAATATATATGGTGGGTTTTTTTTTTTTTTTGGTTATGAGTTTCCATGTAAATTGATTGGAGAGATCTTCTTTTACAGCAGCTGAACCAAAAAGGTGATTTTTTTTTTTCTTTTTTTAAGCCTCTATACAAACTTTTACTCTTTTTTTTTTTTTTTTTNCTTTTACTCTTTTTTTTTTTTTTTTTCCTTTTTTTCCCCCTCCTCATTACTGCAGTGTGCTCAATTTCTTTAGCTGTTTTGAAAAGGTAGGAACTGGTTCTTCTAGGCAGGTTTCTACTTACCAGTTGCACTATCTGACATATGCCTGGCACTTAAGCCCTTAATGGAGGGATGAAGCTGAAAGGGGATATCCAGGAAAGGGGAACACAAAAGGGAAAGAATCTTTTAAAATGGTTAAAACCAGCCTACCTCTTTCTTCGCTATGATGTATCAAATAAATGGTTTTGATGCAATGCAGGCTTATCATTGAACAGTTGCCAATAAACTTTTGACAATTTCACATCAGATATAGCAGAAGACATGGAAAGATAGAGCTGTGCTAAAACTGAGCAAGCAGTTTGCAGCCCAGTCATAAAGGGGTCGAGGGCTTTGCTTTCTTTTTTCTTAGCACAATACTCTTGTCCTGTGAGGCACATAGAGCACCAGACTGAATTTTTGTTAACTGGATATAAATGTATATGAATGTATTACCTGACTTGGTTTCGGAGTGAGTTAGAGCAGGTGAAGATGAAGTATTCTGTAGCTCTAGGCAGCTTGTGCACTGATTTTTATTTTTATTTTTTTTCTCTTGTGTGTGGGTGTTTACTGTGGCTGGAAATAGATGAGTAGTGGTAGGTTTATTCTGTTTCCTGCTGTTTCCTGAAAAAACAGACATCTTTGTGTCACTGTGTTCAGGGATGCTGAGAGAAGGTGGCTGTTTCTCTGCAACCACGAGTATTGGGATATGAGAAATGAGTATGGGGATAGAAAGTAGCAGGGTTGTGAGGTTTTTTTTTTTTTTTTGCCTTTTTATTTGTTTTTTTTTAAGGGTGGCGGAATAGACCAAGAGACTATTTGCAGTTTACATGTATTTTAGTGCAAGAGGTGGGAAAACTAATAGAGCATTTGTAATTGTTAAACTGCTGTCTACTTTCTACAAAAAAATAGTTCAAGTTTCTGAAGTGTAATATCACTGTAAATAGTTTTACTACATAAAGAAATTTAGACTGTGGGCTAAGGGCCTCGCACTGTGCCCAGCTTGGCTGTCGTGGCAGAACGGACTTTGTGAAGGTGAGGGGGACTTGCTGCGCGGCCGGCAAGGGCCACTTGTGGCTTTGGGCATTTGCCACGCACAGCTTTGCACGATCTCATTAGCGAGCAGGACTCATGAAAGCTGCTTTTGGTGTCTTGGCCAGGCTGACCTAGCTTTTCCATCAGATTACAGCTGTTAGGCTAATCCTAAAACATGACCCTATTCATGTCTTCAATCACTTCCAAATCTCTAACTGCAGGGAGGGTGGGAGGGCTCCTACCGTTGCAGGTATCCAGATGGGTGTTGCTCCTCTACCTGTGCTTCTGCTCCAGTCCTTCACAGCTGTATGTGGCATGAAGAGAGAAAGCGAGCGTGGAGCTTGCCCTGCGGAGCAGTTGGTTCTTTGCCTGCCTTTCTCTTTGACCTTTTTGCACTGTACTTTTGCACTTTATGCAGTGTTAGTTGTAATTTGATAGTTCATAACCTGGACCTCTAGGGACCTTTTTCCTACCAGCAAAACTGGAATTCTGATCCTGACTAACTGCCTTGTGTCTTCGTAGTGCAATTATCAATGGGTTTAGAAAGGTTCAGCATCAAAAACGGATTCAATACTGCCAGTTAAAAAGAACTTCTATAATGACCCAGGTTTGTTTACAATGCATAAATACATAAATAAAGTACTATCACTGAAGATCTCTCAACATAGCTTCTGTTTTTGTTTTCTACCTGAACATAGCTGGGTTCTCTTTCTAGGTCCAGGTTTTGCTTTATTGCTATGCTTAGCTGAGGGAAGGGGAAGAAATCTCCTTTGGTTCAAAAATCTGCCTCTTTGCTACAGTACGTTCAAAATTTAAAGCTGTTGGAGTATCACATTTTAGAAATGCTATTTATTTCATCCTAACAGCTTATAAATGCACTCTCACAGGTCCCTAATCCTCTTCAGAAGGCTCTACAAGTTAATCTGATGCTCTGTTACAGCCTCTCTTTGAGGCAGCTAAATGAGCTTAAGTTGCCTCATTTTACAGCTCAACTTTAGAGGGATAAATAATTTGCCCAAGGTCAAAAAAAGGAAGTTTGTGTTTCTGGAAATATGCTGCTAGCTGCTTTATGTTACAGCTACAGACCTTTGAGAAAACTTGACCTTCACGGGAGAAGTGTTTGGGCCAGAGACACTATGGTCGTTTTTTTGTTGTTTTTTTTTTTTTTTTCCCCCTTCTCTTTCCTTTCATTGTTTTTAAACCCTTTTCAAGATGAGTGTTACAGAGTGTGAGGTGCAGGTGCCTGGTATTATCTACTGTTCTGGCTTAGTTGTGGATTTAACCCCACCTTTAAGGTGCCACATAAGGGAGGAAACAGATTGTGACAAAGAAAAACACATTAGGACTTAATGCAACACAAAGTGAGTTCTTTGCAGGGGTAAGGCAGGTGCACAGGGCAGCAGCACCAACTAAACTGCTTCGACATTGCTGAAGGAAATAAGCAGGGGTACCTGCTCGAAAAAGAAAATGGCTCGAGTATTTCTCAGAAGTAGCTCAGCACTGAGCTGCATGGAAACCCATGCAGAATTAACCATGTTTTCTAAAACTGCTGCTTTGTCACAGTGGAATGCTTATGTTCTGATTTTTTTTTCTTTTTTTCCCCAGAAGGGCAAGATAATTCCATAAGCACTTGTTTCTGTCCACTTCAGTCTTTTAAACATCTGATTGCTGGTCTCTTGTAGCAGTTTGAACCAAAGTTAGCAGCCCAAGAGCTCAGTTCCAGGGGAGCAGTGACACTAGTGTGTGGATTCCCAAGCTGCCCTTTGGGCACACAGCTGCTGCCTGCTTCTGCACGGCCAGGCTGGCAGCCATGGGCAGCCTAGCCCAGTCCTGCAGGGCAGCCCAGTGCACCCTTGCGGGAAGCTCCTACTGCTCTGCCTCACTGCTCTGCAAAGCTCCCCCTAGCACCGGCGTCATCGTGCTGAGCCACTCGGCTCCAGCAACCTTCCTGCCCTGGCAGCTGTCAGATAAAGTTGAAAGCTCAACTGAAGGTGGTTTGTTTGTTCTGTTTTTTAAAGCTCTTTCAGTCTAGCTGAAGTGTGGGTTGAAGGGGACTGAAGTCAGTTGAAGTGCAGCTGGTGGCTTTACTGTGACAGTTTTTACAACTTTGCTTAATGCTTCAAAGTAGCAAAGTTAATTTGTTGAAGTGAGAAAACTCACCTGAGCAGGGTCACAGCCTTTAACGTCCCCTCAGCTGCACAGAGACCCTGATGCTCAGCCGCCTAGTTACTGAGGACCATCAGTAGTTACCTGTGGCCGTGGCTTCAGCAGCTGTGGTCCAGCATCTTGCAGAGCATCTTTGGAACAATACTTAATTCCAGTTACAAACTTTAACTAATGCTTGGCACAAAAAGGCCAGCACCTCTTTCAGTGGCCTCGGGAGCATTTGTATTGCATCAAAGTGCCAGAAACCTTAATCACTTAGAAAGTACTTCTAGTGTCAGTCAAGTACTAGGAACTGAGAATTTATGGTCCTACCTTAATATTACTACTTTTGTGGACAAAAACAAAGGAAAAAAAAATCTCACAAGGGAAGTCTTTGCTGCTTCATAATCTAAAAATGAGACTATACTTCCCATTTCTATTCTAGGGCTAGAGTAGAATTAGCACCTGGCTATGGCATGGCAAGTATATATTAGTAATATCTGAATTTGCCTTCTGAAGTCTCCAGCTAGGAAGGGGGACCAGCTGCTTACTAATCTCACTCCTTAAGCATAATATTCCAGAAATTCATACTCAGTTGTGTCCATGGACCCATCATGAGGGCATGTGGAAGGACCAAAGTTCTTGTCTTGAGGTCTCTCAGCAGTGTGGCTCCCAGGAGTTGAAGCCTCAGCAGTCATCCACAGGCACACTCGAGCTCAGTGCTGCTCAGTCCCACTGGATGCCTAGGAGCTCACAGCTCACGTTCCAGAGCTGCTTTGCTGTCGCATCATCCCGACCCCGTGGAGATACGTATGCTGGCTTGCAATCACTGTAAGAAGAATAATAAAAATAATTTATATGTACATAGAAAGATGGATCAAGTCAGCCATTTCTATCAGCATTAGAATAGTGAAATGTCTGTAGTAAGGAGAGGAGTTGTTTTTTATCAGCTTCAAATGAAGTGCAGTTGAAGGGTAGGAGGATAACTAGCAGATAAGCTTGGGAAAAGCCCCCCTTGGGAAGGCTTCCTTTCTACCTGCCTTGAGAAGGAAGCCAGGAACTGGCTCTGCATCTGTTGTCTTGACTCCTAAAGAAACCCTAGCCCAGATGCACTTCAGTGTAATCATTCACTAATACTACTAAAAAGAATTATAAATGTTAATCAAGCTTAGTCAAAATCAGCTTTTCTGGCAAGTGCTCCAAAAAAAAAAGCCACTTGAACAGTCCTTCATTCAAAACGATTTATCAGATTCAGTTCATCCTATTCCATTGCCCCTTCACCAAAGGCAGAGGGCACTTGCGCCAGGATGGCAATACTGCAATAGCCATGTGGTCTCTCTTAGTCCTTTCCCATCTTAGGCCTTTTTCCTCTCTCCTCTGTATGCTCTCTGGAATCGGGATTGTGCATTCTTATCTTAATAGTTGCATATTGCAAATAATGTCGGGCTGGATTGATGGGAGGGAGCTACATCACTGCTGTTTCTAGCTCTTCTGGACTCCGCAGAGCACAGTGGCTGTGTGCACCATATTGCACAGCCTGTGGTGTTCCCCGAGAGACCAGGGTGGGCTTGGCCTGGCTTGCTGTAGCACGTAAGGACTTCTTTTGTGTTTATACTGATGCTTTACATACTGTTGCCTGGAAAGTATTTTAGGACAGTCCACTGTAAAGCCAGGCACATTTGTAAATTAGTGTTTCAGCTATTTGTTTCTCACTAAGTCCACAACTGTTAAAATCTACATACATTTTCTGTTCTTCAGGAACATGAATGCTCTGTTTATAAGCAGGGAGAGACAATCGCATAGGAAAGATTAAGGCACCTATTTATATACTCAAGTCTGATTAGCTCCAAATGAAGATCAGACAAAGCCGTTACAGGGAATAATCTGGTCACTTAGCACAAGAGAAGAAAGCTCTGCAAAGAAGTTCAGGCTCCCACAGCATCTGTGCTAAAAACAAGGCAACCACCAAGGAAAACAAAAAGCGGATTTCCGTATTGGCTTCCCAAGCAGTGGGACTGTTACACTGCTCTCATGTATGCTTGTTGGCTTCCCCTGAGGCTTGAAGAAGCTCTTCAAGGGCACTATCATGATAACTTGGAACTGCTTGGGGTTGTAATTTGCGTCAGAAAGAGAGTGATTATGAGAGGAAAAAATATAAATAAGGTAAAAGAAAAAAAGAATGGGATTTATAGTGGGACCTAAAAAAGACAATTTGGAGACCAGAGTGAAAAGCTTCCCTGGAGAGCCTCCTATCTGGTGCATCTGTCACTCTGAAGGATCAGATCATTTTATTACATGCCTAGTTCTAAAACTTACACTGAAAAATCTTTCCGCCTACAGGAGCAAAAGCACCCATTTTTGCTCCTCCCAATAACATTTACCACATTTGAACTCTGGAAGGAATTAAATCAAGCATCCGAACTGCCTGTGCGTGCTAAACAAGCTAAAACTACAGAGAAAACCAACCTGCTCTTACCCCTAGTTGACTCCAGTGACCTCATTAACTGAACAGCTCTACTGGGGTGATTGGCCCCAGTTTGAGGCAGAGGAGATGAGAACATGGAGCTTGTGACATCTCTCTCCTGCACTTCCTCTCCTAGAACAATGGGAACTGCTACTGCGCAAGCTGGGAGCACAGTGCTGCTTGGAACAGCTCTAGAAGGAGCAGGGCCAATATTTTTGTCACCTTCAGCTATTTGGGTGACCTATTGCAGTCCCCTCTGCATTAAAGAATCCCACTAATACCTACTCCCTGCTTAAGCAAGGTGGTTTTCCCATCACCTCCACAACTTCACATCATGTCAGCCACTTGTACACACCTGAAATACTGTCCTGTCACAGAGTCGAGCTCCTCTGCAACTGCACAGTAGATGCTGGTCTGCGCCCCCTCCCTGGGAGTCTTCAGGAAGAAGGAGAACATCCTCCAGAGCCACGTCATTACGCAGGAGTGCCGCACCAGCTCGGAATGGACAGAGCCGGGGTGCAGGCAGTTTGCCGTGACTTTAGTACCTGCGGGAAAAGCAATCGGGATAAATCAGCCTGCATCAGGCTTGCCTCATACAAAGGGGTAACATCCTCCTTGTCTCAGAAAATATTCAATAGTTTGAAAGGAGAAGTCCAAGCCTGGATACTGGGAGAGCTAATGAAGTACTCACTGCTTGCTGGAGCTTCCCCCTCTCCTTTCCAAAACCCTGCAGTTACTGGAAGCTTTTGCAAAGCAACCTGCTAGAACACCTGGATGCTAAAACAGCAGCAGTTTCCAGCAGGCTATATGAAATATACCTGAATAATATTGCTGTGACTAACTTAAGAGGTTCTGTCTAGTCCTACACCTCTATTTTACTGCCCTTTAACAATGAAGGCAGCTGAGAATACCATAGCTCTTCGCCGTAGAGAGCGCTTGTCAAACATTACATTCAGCTCTAAGTCCTGTCAGCTTCTACCCCACAATCCAGTTGCATACTCACATGCAGCTTTTGAACAAACATCAAAGAAAAGTGAAATCTGCTCAACTGTGCAAGTCTACTGAGCTGCTCTGCCCAGTTGCTGAAAAGATGATTACTGCTTCCATTCTGCTAGTCCACAGACAGCAGCTATTTTCTCCATGAATGAACCAGCTGCCCATGACCTTTGTTCAAACCAGTTCATTTTTTCATCCAATTTCCAGACTTCTCTTCAATCCCCTCCCTTCATACACCGTGCTCGCAATGCAAGCAGCCAAACAGCCCGCTGCGCTGGGTGGCTTGCCTTGCAGGCGCCGCGCCAGCTCCCGTGTGAAGAGCACGTTAGCCAGCTTGCTGTGGCAGTAGGCGAGGCCGCAGTTGTAGCTCTTCTCCCCATGAAGGTCATGGAAGCGGATGCGGCCCCCGTGATGAGCCAGTGAGGACACGTTCACTATGCGGGCTGGGGCAGACTGTTTGAGACGCTCCAGCAAGAGGAAGGTCAGGAGAAAGTGACCTTAAGGAAGAGAGGGAAAGTTAGGATATTTCATCCTTTTCTGGTCCTTCCCTGCTGGCATTTCCAAGTGCTTGCAACATGTTGTTTGTATGCTACAGCTAACTACTACCATCATCTCAAGCTCGGGAGAAAGAAGGCACATCCAGTCCACAGCTCAGCTTTCATGGGCCATTAAGTTCTGCTCCTCAGCTTCAAAAGCCTGGAGCTATCACATATTTCATCTGTCCCAGCTGGTATCTACAGGTTAGAAACCAGACCCATGATGAACAAATACACTGCATTACTTCTTCTAATGACATGCAAGTCCTGAGGAAATTAGCTTTTATCTCCAGAGCTCTGGTTCAGGTCTTCGATACTTTCCCGGAAAGGAAGGATGAGGAAGAGAAAATCCAGAAGCACAATCTCTTTTGGCATTTCACCACAGACATTAAAAGAGAGGTAAAAACTTTACTACAATGGTCTTACCAAGGTGATTGACTCCCAGGTGCATCTCAAAGCCATCTGCTGTCTTGGAGTAAGGGCAAAGCATCACTCCAGCATTGTTAATAAGGATATGGAGTTCCTTCTCCTCTGCAAGAAACAGCGGACACCATTCAACAAAGCAACAGACACAAAAATCAAAACACTTTATGCCCGAGTTGCAACCATATTTCCTCAGTAAAATCAGAACAGGTCTCCTACCACAGACTTGTTCATGGCCTCTGACAAACCCCTGCTCTCAATCCATGGTACCCAACATGGTACAGGGATGCACAGGCCAGGAACCGGCATCTGCTGTAATCCACTGGCAGCAGAACAGAACCCTCTCCTCTCATCTGGCTCTGTGGATAGCTCTAGAGGGCGGAATTTGCCTCCAGGGCAGCCTCATTTTTCTGCCCTTTCCCAGAATGGAGTTGTCACACAGAAAAATTACATTTGTGGCAAATGAGGTCCATATAACAATGAAGGGGAAGATATTTTCATAAACAGATCAGCAATGTGCATCACTTGCACAACACCCTCAGCTTCTACCCTTAAAACCCCTCTGGAAGACACAAGGCCACCCAGAAAGTTACGAGCAAGTAGCGAAACAGAGCAGGGTGTTAATGCTCCCAGGACAAACTCTGCCACACCCCTCCTCACTCTGAAGAGCAGAAAGTGGTTCCTGACAATTATTCCCATTGAAAATAAGGATCTAGGGGCTGTACCTGCTTGAACATTCTCAGCAAACTCCCGGATGGACTTTGTATCAGCCAAGTCCAGTTTTTTCACAATGACCTGCTGGTTCCCTGTTTCAGCACGGATTTCATTTGCTGCAACTTCTCCCTTTGCTATATCTCTGCAGGCAATAATCACCCTGGCACCTGCAAGAAGGAAAGAAGCAGGAACATAGGCTGAGACCACTGGGAGCAGACTGGAGGATCAGGGCTCTGACAAGCAGGCCAACTGCCCAGAGCACCTGCAAACAACTTGTTAGCTTAGGAAACTGGCATCAACCCACATGTTGCAATCTCTAGGGCAGCCCAGAGTCATCTTTGAGCCAGGAAAAAGCACACTGGACATTCCTCTGTCCAGCTTTTCCCAGGTCAGGCATGTGTACTGGCATGACTGGGGTTGACTGGGAGAGCCATGTGTGTGCGCGCATCTCTTTCTCAAAGGACAAGAGAACTGGGGTGCTTGCTATTGTGGGAACCAGGGAATCCTGGCCAGCTGACAGGGGCTGAGGAATCTGAGGGTGTTGACTGGGAGAAAGAGGTAGAGAACACAAGACCATAAGCAAATTGCCTGGAAGGAGACCAGTCCTTATGGCCAGGGAAATGGACCGACTACATGTGCAAGGCTAGCTACTGGACAGACCTACAGTGTATATGTGGGCAGGCAAGAGTGAGGGGTCTCTAGGGGCAAGTGGAGGAGGGCTGCAGATTTCAGGGGTTCATATGTCTGGGTGCCAACAACTGGGGTGGCTGGGGATCCAGAGGCCAGGACTGGACTGAGTGTCCAAGCCCAGCTGCTAGAGGGATCCACATTGTATGTATGTGTCCTACTAATGGGCCTTCCTCCTGAGCAGCCAAAAGGCAGGAACAAGATGAGGCTGTTGTTGCTGTTTGTGTGGCGCTGAGTGTTGGATCAATTCCTGTTGGAGCTGAAATATGTGGCCAACCTTGTGTATACATGTTCTATATATGTGTTTGTGTGAGTGCCTACTGGGAATACGTGCTCAGCCTTGCTACTGTTTGGACATGGAGCTGTGCCAACCTCACCCCATTGAGCGACTGGATTTGACCTTCTTGCCTTGCAGACCTCAGCCAGAATAGTTTCTTAGCCAATTATGAACAGGTAGGTTAATCTCCACAGCTGCTACCCAAAAAGCGTTTAAGCCTATTTAGCCTGAAACAAGAATAATGAAAAATAGACACTAGTGAAACTAAGCCATTCCCCAGCTTCTCACAAATGAGCCTCAGTGATACCAAGGATACCCAATCCTCTCAAAAGGAGGGGGCTGTAGTGCAGAGCTTTCTCGTGTCACAAGACATACTTTCAGAGTTGAAGCAGTAAAAGCAGTTGAGTAACTCAGGACTTCTGACTCAGTGATTTCACAGCCTGGAGAAGCAACATTTGTACTCCTCTGTAATATGTAAGTGTGCCCAACACTACTACTAACTCCAAAGTCTGTTCAGACCCCTGCCCCAATCATTTGTCATCAGAATACATTAGTTAACAGCATGGTTATATCTTGTAATTGGGGTTTTCACTAAGAAGATGAATCACTAGGCACTATCCATCTGACGCCCAACTCTGTAGAGGAAAGTGCAAGGTAGTGCTCCCTTAGATGCAGAAAAGGGGCTGCAGACACACACACACACACACACACACACACACACACACACACACACACAGTGCAATTACAAGTGGATGCTTGCTGGCATAGGGCAGTGACTTGCCTCTTCGTGCAAGGTCTCTGGCTGTCTCCTTCCCGATGCCTGTGTTGGCTCCTGTGATTATCACCACCTTCCCATCTAGCTTAGCCGTTGACTTACACTGTCCTCCAGCAACATACCTCCTGGAGGAAAAGATAACAGGGAAAAGAGGGTAACACGGACAGGTCCAAGGGCCAGACTTTTCTGGTTCTGAAGTTCAGGCTCATCACTTACAGCTCTTGGGTTGCCTCTGCCCCAGCACCTGGCCCAATCACTGCATTCAGAACAGAGAAGCAAAGCCCCCAAGGGCCGGGCAAACCTCGTCGCTCCCAGGCAGATCCCCGCCATTCCCAGCCGTTACCCACAACCGTTACCCCAACGGTCACCCCAACCGCCGCGCGGCCAGGACGCACACGGCGGGCGGCGCCCGGCCGCGTCGTTACCTCAAGTGGAGCCACGGCTCCCCATTGGCTGCCGCCGTGGGCTCTCCGGCGGCTCAGCCAATGGGCGCTGGCGAGGCCGAGGCCCCGCCCCCGAGAGCCCGAGCGCGGCGGCCGCCGTCCCGGCGCCGCGGGGCTCGGATTCCGCGGCGGGAGGTCCTGCCGCCCCACGCGGCCAGAGCTTGCGAGGAAACAGAGACCGTGGGGAGCAACGAAAGCTGCCTGCCCAGGGGCGGAATGGGCGGCGAGCCTGCTTCCTGCTCGCGGCTCGGCCCTTTCATTGTCCTCTCCCCGCGGCTGAGCGAGGGGAAAGCGGAGCTCCAGATGCACCGGCCGTTAGGCGCGGGAGCAAGAGGAGTTCAAGGGACGTTTTAGCCCAGCGAGGGGAAAAATCCTTTTACTTACCGTTAATAACAATAAATAAACAAATAAATAAGGAAGAAATCCTAAGGGTAAGAAGCGCTCAGTCACCGGGAGGCTCTAACCGCCCGTCTCCTCCCAGACACCAAGGGTGCTGCTGAAGAACGGGTGCGCCGCTGTACTTCTGCGCAGCCACTGAATGAATAGCTTTTGTTATCAGCATAACCGCTCCCGAACGGAGAGCCTCGCCCGCACACGAGCCGCGCACAGCGGCTCAGGCAGGGCAGCCTGCGACCTCCCCACGAGCCCGGCAGCTGCAGAGCCACAGCCAGCGCAGCGCGTCCCGAGATAACGGCACAGGCGGACGGGCAGCGCCGGCTCCGCACACCCACCTGACGTAGGGGGCCGCCGCGAGGAGGAGGAGCGGCAGCGACACCGCGGTCCCCAGCACGGCGCCCCAGCAGCCGAGCGCCGCCGCCTCCATCGCCGCCGCCGCCGCTCTGCACCGGCCGGCCAGCGGGAGGCCCCGCCCCTCCCGCCGCGCCCCGCCCCCGCCCCGGGCGCGCGGGGTGCGCCGGGAGTTGTAGTCCCCCTGGCACGCCGGGAGCTGTAGTCATGCGGAACGAGGCAGCTGTCAGGTGAGGTCCCCGCCTTGGAGGTGCCCGGCACAGTGCCTGATGCGTCTCGCCGTTGTTGGCGGCTGGCGGCTGTCCCCGGTGTCGCCGCCGCGGTTCTTGCTGGGCGAGTGGCGGTCGCGCTCCGCAGGGAGCGGCCTGGTGGGGGCGTTGCCTGCGGTGCCTCTCGCTCGTTGCGGCTTTATGGTCGGGCCGCGCCTACGGGCGCCCACCGGTGCGGCGGACGAGTGGGTCCTGCAAGCGGCCAGGAAGCGGCGGGCGTCGCGGTAACGGCGGCGGGACGAGAGGGCCGCTGTCATGGCGAGCCGGGGCTCGGGCTCCTCGGAGCACCTGGAGCGGCTGCACGAGATCTTCCGCGGGCTGCACGGAGACCTGCGGGCCGTGCCCGAGCGGCTGCGGGGCAGCGCGGCCGGTGAGCGAGCGAGCGGGGCGGCCGTTAACCGTCACCGGGGAGGGCCGGTAACGGCGGCCAACGGCCACGGAGTTAAAGCTGCCCGGCAGGGCCCCTGTGGTGGTGCCTTTCCGGCCACTTGGGCGGCTCTGCTCCCTTCCCGGGAAGGGAAGAGGGGGCGGTGCGGCGAGGAGAGCGCTCTGCCTGCGGGCTGCCCCGCTCATCCCGGCGCCGCGCGCCCTGAATGGGGCCCCTCAGCACCGGGTGGGAGGCGGGGTGGAGGTTGCCACCGTGCTCCGCGGTGCCTCCGTCTCGTCATCCCCCCAGCTGCCTAATCCTGTATGCTCAGACCGTAAACCCCGAGGAGCAAATGGGTTTGCTCAGCCTGTACTGCTCTCCATGCTAGATAGCTCACGCTGCAGAAAACTGCTTCTTGTCTGGCTCTCCTTTTAATGATAAGTTAACCCTAGGCTCACAATCCTTGTTATTAATGTCCCAGAAAGCTTTGCATGAGAAAAATGATAAAAACTGCAGAATCAGATGGTCAAATTTGTTGCAAATCACCACCAAACAAGAATGTAAAAGGTGACCCACAGGTCTTGGAGAATGGCCTTTGAATCTGGAGGTTGCTTGCATATGGCTTTGGGAGAGTGACTCTGCTGCCTTGAAATGCCAAATTTGTCTCAGACTACCTAGCTGTAAGCAGAGGAGAAGGCACTCTGCTTGTTGCAGCACTCTTGAATTGAGGACGTCAGTAAACATTATTTTGTTTTGAAGAGTAGAACAAAAAGTAGAAGAATAGAACCACAGAACAAGAAGTAGAAAAATAGAAGTTCCTTCTAGGACAGCTTCAATTCCTTGTAGAAAGGAGCCTGCCTGTATTTTTTTGGTAAAGTGGAGATCTGTTCAGAATCCCTGGGGCTGTAGTAGTTATGAGAGAAAAAAAGAAAAACCCCACAGCATTTACAAAAAAAGTATTTGCAATGCTTGTGTGTTTTTCAGCAGATTACAGATTGTTACTAGCTGATATTTTAGACATGCTATGGAATTTTCATGTGATCTTATTCTTTATTTCTGGAAAGAAAACAATATTTTGGCAAGAATGTGCGAGAGTCCAAGATACGCAAGGAATTTCGCTATCAGGTGGGGGCGTGCTGCCCTGCTGCTGTGCTTTGTCTGCTCCTAGTGCGCCTGGGGAGTATGTGCATGTCTCTCTCGAGTTATCTCTTCCTGAGAACTTCGGGAGGCAATGAAGGAAACCGTGAATACTCCTTTTAAGATGTCCAGCACATTCTCAAAACTCCAGGGAAGCTCTTGAGTCCTTTGGTAGCTGTCAAGGGACACAGTTGGGAAATGCTAGTCCATTCTCTATCAGCAAGATAACAAATTCCTTCATCCAGAAACTTTTTCCCTTTTCACAAACTTTAACTTTGATTTCTGTGGCTGCTTGTCCCCTTTGGGGACACATCAAGAAGGTGCTTTTTCACTGCTGCATCAGGTATCGATTAGTTTGAGATTGCAGTTGAGAGCTGTTGAGACTCTGGTGAGAGCTTAGGGCTTCAAAAACTGCTTTTCATGCAGAGGAACACAGAAACAAAACCCAGGTTCCCAAATGATCCCTAAGGTCAGGGTTTTGTTTGCTCGTTTTCTACAATGATGTTTTTATAACGTTATCTAAACAATATAATCAAAATAGATAAGTTTTACCAACATGTTCTGCTGCCCAAGGTTTTATTTAGGACTGAATCACTGTCTCTCTCGAGAGAGGTGAATTAAGCTATTGCATATTTGTTAATGTTAGGATTTGATTAAATTGTACAGTGGCTTAGAAGACTCCCCTGGTGGTCTGTCTTCTTCCACATTTCTGCAAAAACTTACAAAACATTTATTTTTGCTTCTTTGAGATATGTGGTGCTTTAGAATTCTACTTAGAATCATAGAATCACAGAATGCCGAAGGTTGGAAGGAACCTCAGAGGTCATCGAGTCCAACCCCCCTGCTCACGCAGGGTCACCTAGAGCACGTGGCACAGGGCGGCATCCAGGCGGGTTTTAAAGATCTCCAAAGAAGGAGACTCCACAACCTCTCTGGGCAGCCTGTTCCAGGGCTCTGTTACCCTAACTTCTGTGATACTGTTTTTGTTTGTCTTGGATATTATAGGGTTGTGAGAGCTGATGCTGTTTCTTTTTGTAACAGATACAAAATATATCTTAACATTTTGTTTAAAAGGTGTAATAGTACCAAAAGGCAATTCTTTGGCTTCCAAAGCCCCAGGTAGGAGTGTATTAGCACATCTGTGGCTACCTGGTGACTACCTCAAACAATTCAGATGTTTAGCTTTGGTGGTGAGTCGGTCAAACCAGTGACTCATTGGAGAAGAGGGAAGCATTTGGGCACGAATGTGGAAAGTGATCTGATACCTTGATGGCATCTTTGATTTCAAAGGGCTCCAGGATGAACCTGTTTTCCACATAACTTTATTAGTGACTGCCAGAAGGTGGGATATTGTATCTGCCGGAAACGTTAGGCATCATTTGGGAATGTAGCTTGAGTAAAGACTCCTTTTGTCCATGCAAACTTGTGGCCAGCTGGTGGAAGGGTGGTCCCCTTTGCCCCCAACCTATTGAAGTTGTCATAAGAACAGTCTGGTGAATTTTGGCCAGGGGTCTCAGTAGTCAGCTTCCTTGTCCATGGTCAGTTGAGTTGTGTTGTAATTTACTTACAGCTTATCTAACGTGATACTTCTTCTTCAACAGAGGAGAGAAAAAAACTAGTTCGAGAATTTGATGAGAAGCAGCGTGAAGCAAGTGAAACAGTAAGTTTAAGCCCAGATTTGTGGCTTCTGTGACTGGTTGAAACACTGTGTCTTAAAAGGGCAATGCTTCCAAATTTTACTTTCCTTGGGTATTTATGCAGGCAAGGGAATATTGGGGGTTATTTTTCATCTCTTTCATCTGTTGATCTGATCAGTGTGTCTGTTGGCCAGGACTGCTGTGTGTGCGTATACACACACACACACACATATATGTATATCTGTGTATACACATACACATTCATTTATTTATTAGTACTCAATTTGTGTACTGCTTTTCTCTGATGAGTGAAGGAGGTAGCAGTGCAGTTAATTGTTAAAGATGGTAGCGGGCACTGCCAAAAGCAGGGAGTGAATTTCTGTTCTGTCTTTTTTTCTGCTGTCTGTTTTTTATGGCTGTCTTGATCTATCATATCTTTCTGTAATTATGTGATGGTTAAATACATGGACTTCGTATATTTGAAGCTTCCATTGTATAAAGCAGTAAAAAAGACACTGACTTCACAGAGAACAAGTGACATGAAATAATGCAAAAATACACATGCCCTGTTTTTTTAGGTATGATATTATGAATTAAACTTGCTTGCTTGTTAATGAAATATTTATTATCAGCCTAACACACTTTTTAATTGGGGATTGTTGTATTTTCTGGTTGTTTTATTGCAGCAGTTGCACATTGTATGATGTGAAAGGTGTAGAGGTGTACTGGGCGAGAGCTTTAAATAAAACTATGGGTGGTGCCAATAACATGGCAAACTGCGATAATGAAAGATGAGAAGTTTAAACTTAATATTTTAGAGGTATTTTAATGTCAGTCACAAGTGATGCAAGAGACTGCAAATCTGACATAAATGTATCCACATGGGTTTAGTAACGTTAAGCAGCATGAAATACTTTATAGCACATAAGGGCTGTGTAGTTTGAGGTTCAATTTACCTCCCTTCTACCTGACTCCACCTCCAAGTCCTATAAAAAGCATGTGAATTCTCTCCATCACCAGAGAGTTGTGAGTATGGCTGTCGGTAAGAGTAAATGTGGTGCTTCAGAAAATGAACATGTTCTTTCATTGCAGCTGCGGGAGATGGAGGAGGAACTGAAATACGCTCCTCTGCCTTTCCGCAACCAAATGATGAGCAAAATCCGGGCTTACAGAAGAGACCTCTCCATGTTCCAGAGAGAGATGAGAAGTACGGATTTGGGATTGGGCCCTGGAGGTCAAGGAGATACAAAATATGGAATCTTCTCCACAGAAAATGAGCATAGTGTGAGCATTAGATATAAATCATATTTAAAGTTCTGGGATTGTTAACAAAAAGAATTCCAGGTGTATTGCTTATAATGTTTCTACTTTAATCCGCTTAGCTTTGGTGCTTGCGTAATTGCCTGTATATTGCTCTGCATGTAAAATGAGTATCTCAGAGAGAAGAAACAGCTAGAGCTCATAAGAGAGCTTTTTTTTGTTCTACAATAATGATTTATTATAATCAAAATAGTACTCCTTGGGTATCATCTGGTTAATATTTTATAGGGCATGTTAAATAAAAGAATTTTAGAGCCTGGCTGCACGTGCTGAAGTGCTTTTATTTAATCATTCACTCGCAGCACTGAATGCATTGAAGTAATGTTGTGACTGGTTTCAATCTCAGTCTCTAAAATCAGCCAACTGTGTGACTTGCATGCACCGTATAGCTTCTTTGGCAGAATGTGCTTTTAAGCAGTCCTAGTTTATATCACGTAAAGACAATGAAGAAGTCACTTTGTAGCACTTCATTCACAGATGTGCTACTGCAGCAAAAGAAACGTGAGTTACTCAGACTGAATTTGCTTGCTGTCTTCAAAGGCAAGTGCTGCGGTGTTTGAAGAAATTAGTGGAGATAGGGCTGTTTTATTTATTCTCCTTAAATAAGGAAGCATTGAGGAAACTATGTCTTTAATGTCTTAGTCTACAGTAACTAGGTATTTTTTTCCATTGAATTCTTCTTCTGTAGTATCTGAGGATGGTAGATTAGGCCTTCTGAAGTTTAAGAAAATACTTTATTTTGAGCTTCCTTTTGACTTCAAGGTAGCAACCATTTTTTCATCCTTTAGCTGAAGCTAATGCCGTGAAGAGATCCTCATCTTTGTCACTTAGCAGTCCATCCACTAGTGCTGGTTGTTCGTCATTATTTTGACCGTGTAAACCCTTGACAATCTCCCCAGCAACCCGTTGTGAATCCACAACAAAGACAGAGCCACTCTTACCTCTTGAACATGCCAGAAGCCCAGTGTGTCTCTGTGTAACAGCTGGGAACGCTTTGTTTTTCAGACTCATGTGCAGGCGCAGAGGGTGCTGCTTCTGCAGGGCACAGACAGCCTGAACCGGGCGACGCAGAGCATTGAGCGTTCCCACCGCATCGCTGCCGAGACCGACCAGATCGGCACGGACATCATCGAAGAGCTTGGGGAGCAGCGGGAGCAGCTGGAGCGCACCAAGAGCAGGGTGAGCGGGGAGCGGCTGGTGGGCATGTGTGCCAGCAGCTACTGATGGAGACCTGCCTGGCCATGGCACCCGGTTGTGTCTTTAGAGACCAAATCCAGGCTGTCACGTGTCTGCACTGGGCTCTTAAAAGAAGACTAGACACCATGGAGGTGCCCAAGGCCTGGTGGCCAAATGTCTCTTACAGTGTCTGTGCGTGGGTGCTTAGACTTACCTACTGCTACTATTTTTCTGTGCCTTTCAAGGGGAGAGCGTCACAAAACGAGCAGCTGAACACCAGCACTGTAGGTTTTCACCACTCTGCCCTAGTAATAGCCAAGCTGCTGCTGTGGTGTATAAGCACAATGATATGATAGTTTCCATACCATACCCGTGGGATGTCTCACGGGAATGAAATCTATGAACCAGACATCCAGTAAAAGGTGGAAAAGCCTGGGTTTGGACATGAAAGGAAAAGGAATGTGGACTTGCAGACTGCTAAAGGAAGAAGTTTTGGGCTATCCCAGGGCAAGTTGAATTCCCATGGTAATAAGTACTTGCCACTGGGAGAGGACTGCAGAAATGAACTAGCTATTTTGATAACTTAAAACTGTAATGGCTTAAATTGTTTCAATTTGTCCGAAAGTTTGATGTCAGATCCTAAAGTGTTTCTTTTGAGTAACTGATTGTCAGAGAGGTGGGTTACTCTGAAGTGATTAATTCACAACTCTTTGTGATGAATGAGCTCACTGAATGAGAAAAGATGTTTTCTAGTGCTTAGATTTCACCCCAAGAAGGATCCGTTTTCAAAAAAAGAACCATAGTCCTGGTATTTGTGCTCGTTATTCATGTTCTTGTCCATTTTCAGCAGCAAAGTTCCACTTGTTTAGATTGAGCCCCTTAGCGATCCACACCTGAAAGCATGACCAAAGCTAGAGTAATATTTATGGTTGAGTACGAACAGGAGCAGAGTCCTGCTCACTCTTGCTTGGTTTTGTGGCTTCCTAGAGTTACTGAGAGTGTAAACCATTAACAGCAGAAGTGACCGCAGGGGGATGCTTCATGTTGCTGTTACTTGGCAGGCTTGGCTGTTCCTTGTTTGTGATGTTAAGAGTGAGTAGCTCAGTTAACTTGGCAGTATTTTGCTTTTTTGTTGTTGTTCTAACCAGTGACATAAGATGCTTGTTATTGATCCATGATCTTCTGTGATATTGCAACTGATTAAGTTAAAAAAGGTCAATTTACTGCTAACACAACTCTATTTATAATCTTGGTCACAATTAAAAATTCTTTACCAGTGTCTTGAGGCCCTGTTCACAACACAGCTCTGAAGATACTCTTGTTAAAGAGATTATCCAAATTTACCTTTTTTTTAATTACGTTAGAATGGTTTGAAGTATACAGACACTCTTCTTTCTGGTTCTTCCATAGCAAAGCTCCCAAATCCGTCATGCTTTAAATGGCTTTCCTAGTTAGTTTTCCTGTTCCGAACTTGGCCTGATGTCTCTCAATGCCAAATAAACACACACACCTCCAGGGCCAGTTTTGCAGTTGAGGACAGTAGCCAAAACCAACAGGGCATTTTGCCAGCTGGTGTCTTGTGTGCTGCAGTGGTCACTGTCCTGACCTCCCTTTCACTTCCCTGGAAGGGCACTGGCCGAGGCTTCCCTGGAGAGCTGCAGTGACCACCCCTCCGGAGTCCCCAGACTGGCTGCTTTTTCAGTTGTCCACAAACTACCTTCTCTTTCTTGCTACCTGCCTGGCCAACATTTGGCAAGTCGTTTCTGAGCACTTCAGAGCTGAAGCAAGTTAGCTGCTAACAGTTTGCACTTGAAAGCTAATGGCTCACTTAGACCTACCCGTGCAAAATTGTTCTTTGCTACAAACCCGGTATTATTTCAAGAGGTTCTAGATATGCCCTAGGGAAGTACATGGTGATATCATTTTTTCTTCTGGTATTACTGTAACTTGAATAATGAATAAAACAAACATTTAAGGAACTATTACCAGCTTTCCAGTATTTTTAGGGTAGCAATTGGGAGCAAAAGCAATCCTAAAGTGCTTTTTTTTTTTTTTTTTTTTATGGGAAAGTAGCTAGACATCTTATGCCTTCCTTAATAATGAGACAGCTCTCCAGCTCTATCATGCTTGGAGGAGAACAGTGATGTTGGCTCTGGATTTTGAGACTATGTGGTTAACCTTGAATCTGTTGTTAATTAATTGCAACATTTCTGTTGCCAGTGCTTGTGAGTGCATCTTTACAGAGTTCCTATGTATTGACTGACCTGGTAACTTTTGTTTCCTTTCAGTTGGTGAATACAAGTGAGAACCTAAGCAAGAGTCGCAAGATTCTCCGTGCCATGTCCAGAAGGTGAGCAGTGTGACTGACTTGTACGGATAGTTACTCGGGGTGGGTAGCATCATGGCCTACCAATTGAAGGCAAGAACAGGGAGCAGCGCATCGTCTGGAGCTGCAGGGAGGGTTTGTGGTGTGTGTGAACAGAGTGCAGAGCAAGAGCAGAGAGGGCAGTTGCTGTTTTCTCCTCTAGTGAATGCTTGATGAGGTGCATCACTGTTACACACTACTGAATTGGGGCTGCTCATTTAGGCTAACGTTGTGTAGCCTGACAAATTGCTGGAGAGGATTTGGACATAAGCAAGTTAGAGTGCATTGCTAAAACATGGTAATGTGTCATGAAATGCTTTGTTATTAAGGTCGGAAGAAGTTGTGCCGTAAATCACTACAGCATTAAATGATTTGGCTGCCTAATGACATAGACCAACGTGTTTGGCCCCCAGTGCTGTTCTAGAGCAGCTAGAGTGTCCTACCAGAGACTGAGTCTGAACATAGACTAGTTTGTTGTCTAGGTCCTGGCTGCTTGAATGTCCTTATCTTTTCTTAACTATTATGGTTTAAATACCTTTATAAACCAGAAGATGGAGAAGTGAGTTTCAAGTATGTACTTTTACCTTAACAACTTTTCCTGTATAGCTCTCATTAAGAGAAGTTGTAATAATGTGTAATTTTCAATATAAAAGATGCATTATTACGATGTGTTAGTATTTAGAGGTTGTGTAGTTTTACTTCGGTGCTTACAGTTGCAAGTAAAAGCTCCACAGTGTGAGTTTTGGCACAAGGAGTTCAACTCATGTTTCCCCTTTTGCTGAATTGAATTATTAGGCAGATGGAGAGCAGTTTGATCTACCTTCTTTGTACTTAGGGGTGGGCAGGAACAGAGCTATTGCTAGTAAAGTAGAATGTTTAAGCAGAATTTCCAGAAAAAGAGTGGAGAAAACACGGAGCTTGCACCATCCTGCTTATTAACAGCTATTCCAGCAGTGGCTGCGGTCTTAGTGAGAGTAATAGGGTGATTGGTTTTTTATTTATTTTTAATCTAGAGTAATCACAAATAAGTTGTTGCTGTCGATTATCATCGTCCTGGAACTAGCCATCCTGGGAGGTGTGGTCTACTACAAATTCTTTCGCAGCAGATGAATTTTTGTGGCTGAAACAAATGAAGGGCTTTCTGTACCGCTGAGGAGCGGAACGGGGCATCCGTTCCCTGGGGCTGGCCAAGGTGGAACCGTCCCATGCGACAGCATGTTCCAATGAAACTGTACTAACTCTAGAGACACTGAGTGGGAGCAAAAGGAAACTGCACAGAGAGACTTGAAATACTGGTAAGATGAATAAGAAGGTAATAAATGTTTTATTGTCTCAATTTGTATATACTTAACTAATGAATAAAACTTAGTACATAATACAGTAGTCACTGATCAAGTGGAAAAACTAGCTTATTTAAAAAGAGAGATGGTTCCGTATTCATCAAGTATTGACAGTCAATCTGTTCACTCCAGCGCCTCAGCAGAGTGCTTTAATGTCCGAGGTGCCCCACACTGTGGGCTCCTAAATCCTCACTTGCTCTTCTCTGTCAGATTCGTCCGGAGAGCTGGGGGTGGGCAGCTCGTCGAAGGCAGTGTGCGCCCCCTCCCTGGTCTGCCCAAAGCAGGCCGCCAGCACGTCCACCGCCAGCCTGGCGGTGGCCGTCACCTCCTCGGGAGAAGCGCCCAGCAGCGGATTGACTTCCACCATGTCCACAGCTGAGAGCAGGCCTGAGAAAAGAATTTGCACTGTGTTATTAGGGGACAGGGAAGAGGCCAGCAGCACCTGCTTCACTCTTTGTAGCAAGTCTCTGCTGTTTAAAGTTGCGACCTGCTTTACCCGTTTGAAGAGTAAAAACCGCTTTCATGTGAGGGAAGAGGTTGTCCTTCTTGGACACAATTTTGTGGCTGGCTTTGATGGGTTCTTTTTTATCTTGTCACTGCCTCACTCATCCAGGCTTTTAGTATTTATGGAAACCAAGCCTGATGCTCCAACTGCAATTATGAAAGGAACCTCCCTTTCTAATTTTTAAAATCTTTGTCTAGTCCTAAAACTAGAGGATATAAAATAACTTCATATACAATCTTTTTTTTTGCCATCCTACCTTTTATTCTACTGAGGTCTTTTCCCACGCCCCCCGCCCCCTTCTTCCCTATCGTAACTTCTATTAAATGACATCTCCATAGCAGGAGGAAGCTCCCATATATTGTCACCTGTAGATGACTTAGTGAAAGCTCCATTTGCAAACACTGTAGCCCCAGACTGGACCTCCAAAGTGTTGAAATGTGTCTGCATCCATTGCACCTCTTTTTATCTGGCCTCATGCGTTCAGCAAAAGGAGATGGTACAGTTACTTTTGGCATGAATCGTTAAAATTTGAATATATGTTAATAATATAATTATTTCATTTACCAAGTATTGTACAATTGGACATTTCCACCTCCCTCCCCTGCCCGCCCACCTCCTTACTGAAGGTTAAGTTGACTTTTCAGTCACTTGCTTAGGCAACATTCATATTATTATTTAGTTACGCAGAAGAGACTGCGAGCCATGGGCTGTGCGGTGCTGCCGGGGGCCCTACCTGTGTTGTGTATTTCCTCAGTGATGTACATGCCCTCTCTGTAGGTCAGGCCACCCAGAACAGGAGTCCCCGTTGCAGGAGCCAGCGAGGGGTCAAAAGCATCAATGTCAAAGCTGAGGTGAATTGGTCTCTGTCGTCTGGAGAGAAAAAGAACAACAACAAAAAAGAAAACTCAAAACCTTTAACTTTGTCTTTAAGTATTTTTACCATCCAGGTTGATCAGCAAAGTAACATCACACTCCAAACTACTAAGTGCCCCACCTTTCAAAAGGATTTTTTTTTTTTAAATCCTTCAAGACTGAAATATTTGTTAGCTCAGAACTTTCTTCCATGTATACTGAGAAAGAGGAAGTTTGTCTTTCTAATTTCATTGAGCTTCTGCTCAGACCTGACTTGCTGGCACAGGAGAACTCTCGCTGTGACCATCCTTCCTGAGGCCAATCTCCTGAGCTGCAGCAACGTAGAGAAGCTGCGCTATAGTCCAGCCACTTCCCTCCTCTTGCAGGGGAGACTGGAATAAATGACTGAAACGCTGATCTGCCTGATGCGTGAAAGGGCAAAGCACCAAGCTTGAGGATTTAATAGTTCATCAACATGAGTGGGGCATTCTGTGTTTTTTTAGGACAATAGTTGAAGGCTCCTTCCAAGCTCTGCCACATAAGCCTAGCTGACAAAATAGCAAAGGATGAACTCAGACTTGAAAGGTCACCTCCCGAACTGCATGATGCTTGGCAGCCCATGGGAGCTTAATAACCAGGACAGGACTTGTCACTCACACGAGCTACTGAGGTGGTGGTGGTAGGCTCTGTACTGCTGAATTACTGCAGATGGATGAGCAACTTCTTACTTGGCAGAGCCGCAGCTTAGAAGGGGGATGACAGCTTCACACTCAACAGCAGCAACAACCACTGTCCTCACAGGACTCAGGGGTTAGTTACTCTTCCTGGCTCTGCTCCTCTCCCTGGAGCCAAATCCTTACACCATGGTCTGCTCCCTGAGCTGCTCCAGCAAACTGGAGCAAAGCAAAGGCACACACGTGAGCAGAGCGTATGACACCAGGCTTTGTGAGCATGGTCAGAGGGAGAATTGCTCCCAAATGCTCCTGCCTCAGCTACGGAGAGCTGAATTCCAGTTCCTGTCAGTAGCTACAGATCTTTTAAAAGGGATGCTGTACACCCTGGATTCAGGGTTGGGTCAGCACCTTTACAAAACTGAAGCAAGATATGTGATTTCTTAGGAAGTAGGACAACTCATCTACATCACAACTGTAGTGACTAATGTAACTTATAGCCCTTTGCCAGTCCCTGTGAGCTGACTACCTATCAAGATGCAGAAATCAGGACAGTCACTGCTAAGGCATGACTGTTCCCTGGGCACATTCAAGTTGTGTGAGGATCACTGCTCACCTGCTTTCCATCAGAAATGGCCTTCATTTAAACACCTTTCAGAAAAGGGAGATCCTCATTCTTAACAAGCAGAGAGATGTGGAGAGCGGTTTGTATCCGTAAGGATTACAGATTTGTTGCCAGGTCACTAATCAGCTTGTGTGTTATCTTTATGAAACAGCTTCTGTTCATCCACAGTTAGTTACCTGCCCATGAGGTGCTCAAACGTCCTTTCCATAACTTTTTGAATTCCAAGGCGATCGATTTCCCTCATGGAGAAATATTGGATGTCATAGTTCTTCAAAATATAACTATTAAAGAAAATATGTATTACAAAAATCACTCAGTATTGGCCTAAACTTAAATTTAAGAACCCTGAGGCACAGCCAGCTGTGGGTAGAAACCTGAGATTTCAGAGTTTGCAGAATTCCTCTATTTTAAATGAACTTACTATTCGGCAGGATCCACATCCCTCAAGCCAATGTACACAATATCAGATGCTGAAAGACAGGGCTTTATCCAGGAAAAGCCAGGAAGCTGTGGCATCTACAAGCAAAGTGGCAGTATTGGATTAGTTTAATGACATATTAGTAATAGTTTAATGACATAATTAACAAACCGGTGTTTAGGACGTCCCTTAAAACTTTGTGCTTATTTATGGTATCCCTTCTCTAACCTAGAGGGAAGAAGGGAGCCTTGGAGGGAACCCTCACTTGAGGGTTTGCTTTCCTGATTTTATCCATGCGAATGACATGCCATTTTTTTCTGAGTTAAAGGAGGAAGTTTTTAATTCTACCATTTCCCAGTTTGGGAGAGGGGAGCAGGACTAGGAACCAATCTTGCTATGACAGGCGCCAGGAGGTGCAGTATAATACTGCAGTATTATCCTCAGTTGTCACAATGACCTTAGACACTGCCGGGCTTGCTCGGGACGGGTGCGGCCATCAGCAGGATACCCCCACGATATATCTAACAGTACAGAACTCCCAAGGGAAATGATGAAGGCCTTAGGCCTACCTATTATGCCACATTGTGACAGTAGCCAAACCTGGCTGCGCGTAGGCCACGTGCCGTGGTACACGGTTCCGATGACAGAGAATCTGCCTCGAGTCTTAGCTGTTCAGATGCAGTCTGTAAGCAGGCCCAGCCATTCTGATTTGTAATGTTTGACAGGAGGACCAACACTAGGGCAGCCGGGAAGGTGCAGGGACGTAAGACCAGTGCCCATCGCGCTCCAAGGCCGTCAGGACACACAGTGCCAAGCTGAACGGGGGGTGGTGCAGGGGGTAGTGGCACTCCCGCGCGGTCCCCTGCGCGCTGCCGCAGCGGCACCGGGTGCAGCGGCTGCATGCAGCTTTGGCTGACCCCCTGGTTCCAGGGCAGCACAGGGGGACGCTAGCAAGAAAGACCTTTTCTTTTCTCTACAATTACACACACACAAATATTATGGATTACTACATGTACTTCAGTTTTAAAAGTCTGCCTTTGTAGCAGTTAGGAAAGCATCTTACACCAGAACAGGAGCAGTGTCCTAAGGATGGCAGTGCAGGCTAACTGTACAGCAAGACACTTACTTTATCCTGGAGCTCTCGCAAGAGAAACGAAACTGGTTGTCCATGGAGGTTCCCAGACGGAGTTGTGAGAGGGGTGTTGATATCGGCGTGCGCGTCCACCCAGATGACGCCGAGGTGTGGGCACTGCCGCGCGTGGCCGCTGATGGACCCAACTGCCAAGCTGCAGGGACAGCAGCAAAGTCTTCAGACAATGTGCAAAACATGTCACGTTCAGGACAAGTAGGGGGAGCAACAGGAGTCCCTGCAGCTACACTTAGCTGTTATTAGCTAACTTAGCTGTTTTTAAACGCATTGGACCTCAGTGACAGTGATCATAGAAGGCACCTCATACACTGCATAGCAAGCACCGATACCACCGTGTTTCTAGGCTACCACAAGTAACTTTAGAGGACTGTACCGGTCCTGGGAGATGGGAAAGAGCAACTCACTCGCTGCAAAGTTAGCCTTTAATTTTCATCTTTTCTAAGTGATCTCTCAGAGTATCTAGTATGCTCGCTCATCACTGGCCTTGTACACCTGCTTTTGACTCCACTCATGTCACCCCCTCCAAAATATTCTTATATGTGCCACCTTCTTCAGCCTGTTCTCAGGTCAAAGTTTAGGGAGAAAGAAAAGTAAAGCAGAATTGTGCACTGTAGGGTCCCCTAAAAAACAGCCTGTGTGCAGACATCACCAACCTATCCTAAAAGTTGTCACCATGAACTAAGTTGCAAAAGAGACAAATTGCTAAGCATTTACCGGTACAGAAACTGCAACAGTTCCTAAAGGATCTGATCACACAGACTTCCCCAAAGAGAAAGTTCACTTATTTCTATGTCTGCAAGAGAGCCTGGAACTCGGTAGTACTGTCTCTGAATAGTACTCGGGGTTTTATAGTCACCTTCTGTAGTCCATCCTCTGAGCCCAGCAATAGAAACAAAAAGCTGTTACCTCGTAGTGCCACAGGAAGGACCCAGAGCTGCTCTCACTGCCCTCCTGACCGGATTTAGGTAAGCGCTACTCCCTTCTGCAGCGTGCAGCACCCATCGGTGGTGGTTCAGCTCACCTGTGGTCGCCTCCTATAGTCACGCAGCTGTGTCCGGCGGCCACAGCGCGGCTCACGGCGTCGGCCAGCACCTGGTTGGCCAAGCCCACCGAGCGGGGGTACGAAACCCGGTTGTTGTAGAGCTCGTCGTTGGGAACCTGAGTGAAGCTCAAGTCTCCGGAGTCATACACTTGGCAACCTGGAAACAAGGCAGCAAAGGCAGAATGTGAAGATACTAAACAAGTGTCCCACGAGGCTTTCAAAATATTTTCCCTTCAGAAGTTCTGTCAGGCAACCAGGAAGGGCGTTCATCTGACACGTGCATGTCCTCGCAAAAAAACACCTCTCAGCTTTACAAATCAGAGAACTTAAGATGATATTCTGACTTGAATTTAGCAATGAGCTAGGCCAGCGTCTAAAGCTCACTTTGAAAAACAATTATTTATTGGCAAGTTTTCCACTGAAAAAAAATATGGTCTGTATTGCTGTCTGCCTTTCAAATGTATACAGCCTTATGTATACTGCCTTTCAAATGTATGCAGTCAAATGTATACAACCTTAAGTGAGCGCCATGCCCAGGCCACATTCAATCAAATTACCTTTTTTTTTTTTCCCCCATCAAGTCCAATGCTCCACTGCCCTGACTCCAGCCTGCTTTAAGATCTCATCATTGCCCACTGTAGCTTAGTTGGCTGTTGAAACACAACAACATTCTGGGTCTCAGACTCAGCCTTCCTAAAACGTATTTCTAGCTACTTATCCCAAAGACAAGTCATTACAGGAGGGAAACAAGGAAACTTTTTGGCACATAATAAACTCATTCAAAGGGATTTTGCCTGGTGAACGTAAGGAAAAAGGTTGTGAAAATCAGGTTGCTGGAAAACGGGCAAGCGCCTGTTTTACAGCAGTCATAGGTGGCCATATGTCAGGGTATTTGCTAGGAAAGACATAGTAGCTGAGCCCAGCTACCTGACAAGGATTACAGACACGCTGCCCAGCACCCCGTGCTGTATCGCCTGCAGCCAGCTACAGCAGGAGCCGCAGCAGGACCCCCACTTTGCTTTCCAAGAGACAACACAGGCCTAGAGCAGCAGCTGTTTCTCCCCGAGCACCACCTCCTCAGCAGCCTCCGTACAGCAGCTCGAGAGCTTGGAGCCTGTTTCAGGCAATGCCCCCGGCTCCACCTGCTAGCCAGCGCAACCACTGCATTTTCCTCTGCTTCATTCTGCGGCACAGCTTCAGGAAAAACTTGTGAGCTTGGAATACTTTGAATGAATGGCAAGGATCTCCCCTTTCCTATTTGTAATTGCTTGACAGACTGCTATTCATGCACTGCTGCTCCTTTTTCAGTAGTATTTAAAAGCGGTGATGAAAAAGTGAGTGTTGCTGGAAAGCAAGTGTTGTAAATGAGACTTCACCAGTCAGGCATGGAATCAACTAGCAGGCAGCAAGAGCTTTGGAGGAAGCTCCCCAGATTGACCAAGTTTTCCACACCCCTTTGGTCTTCAGACAGCTATGGAGAATGAATCTGCAGCCAGACAGGTGTGTTAGATGCCGTAAACACAACTGGACAGCACATCATACACTGCAGTGGAGGAAAGGGCTGCCACTTCTGCTTGGTCCTCCCTTACAGGGCATGCTAGCATACAACAGCATTTCACCCAGGCTAGGATGCAAGAGAATTACAGAAACTTTTATTATGAAGCTCCACATTTAGCTCCCTTTGAGAAAGACAACCACTCCATCTTTCATCTTACTTTAAGGAAAAAGACAGAATGTATTTAAGGAAAGGCAGCTGGGTACCAGGTAGTGACATAAAACTCATCCTTTTAAGTTTCTTCATATTATTCTAAAAAGCAGCCAAACATGGTAGATTTTAAGAAATGTGTGTGGGGTCTATTGCTCATGTTCCAGATACTTTCTCCTTCTTTAATTCATCCCCTTTCCAGCCCCCATCTATAAGGCAAAAATATGTACAGTTTTCAAATCAAAACAAAGCCATGTAGTCCTGTGATCACCGTGGGGCTCATAGTGGAGATATGTCAGAGATGGACAGATGGACACACACTGCTGGATTCCACAATTCTGGGATCCTGTCCACCTTTGGGTAAACAGCACTCCTGCATCTCCTTTATTAAGATGCCTCTCTACTTTCTCCTTTATAAAAAGCCTAATCTCCATCAAAGTCAGCAGCTGCTTCAGCTTTTGTAACCACCTTCAAAAGCTTGGTTGTTGTTGCTCAGCTGGAGTGCCTGTCCCTTGTAGCTGCTCCTTCCTCAGGTGCAGTGCCCTCTTATTTAGGCCCACTGCTTTTATGTAGGTGCAGCAGATGGCTCAAGTTTTCTCAGGTCAACTTGGATGCTTGCAGCAGTCTTTGCCATAACCGCCCAATTAAAATAGAAGCAGTCACTCTCAAACAAGTAAGCAATCCAATCCTGAAACCTAAAAAATATCCTCTAGTTTTAATACACCTGCATTTATCATCAATGACTCCAAATATAAGCACTTTTCCTTGTTTCTTGGGATCCTTTATAATTTAAAAAAAAATACACTAATAGCTATAAACAAACAACCTAATTCAGCACAGATTTAAAAAAAGAACATGTATGGGTCTTTTCACATGCAATAGATCCACATTCTTAAAAGTGGAAGGTGGTGGGGATAAATGGAGAAGGCAGCTTCCTTGCCCCTGTTGCAGCACGGCACCCATCACACTGTCTGTCAGGACTAGTGAGCGGCAGGAGGGCACCTCCCTCAGTGAGCAGAGACTCACTTAGCCAGGCTGAGCCCCGCATCCAGGCTATAAAAAAAGGAATTCACCACAAAGCTGGGTGACAAGCATCAAATGCAGCACATTTGTGACCTACCCAGCAGCAGCAGTTGCATAGAATTAAGCAGTTTACGCTTCGCAACCTCTCCAGCTGTTTAGAATTGAAAGAAAAATGCTTGTTGGGCAATCAGTCCAATTCTTCTGTGCAAGTCACATAGGAAAGTAACACTGAGCAGAAGGGATGGGACCTCTAACTGCCCAGATTTTTTCCTTCCCAAAGCTTCAGAAACAGCTTCATAAATGCTGCTTCCTCTCTACCAGTCTTTACATCCAGACCTTGGAATGTCTGTCTGCCAGTCTTTATACAGACCTTGGGAAAACACAATACTCACCTCACCTCCATGCTCGTTTTATGGTAAAAAACACTATCAAAATAGGTTTCTTTAAAAACAGGGCAAGGGGGTAGGAGAAAAACAACAAAAAAGAGTTTCAGCCATTGAACCAAGTTTTTAATATGAAACATTCCCAATTTGGCAAACTTTTTTTGAGCAAACAGATGAGAAAAAAAAATCACATAAGCATTCAGCCAGCATAGCAAGGGATCAAGGGCAGTCACTCAGACTGGATGGGGATGGATAGCAACCCAGATAACTGCAATGTAACCTGTAGTCATTAAAAGACATCTGAGTTAATAATTAAGAGCCTAAATTTTACTTAGAAAAAAGACACCAATGCAAAATGAGGGTAGATTTAAGAGTTCCTGGCACACAGTTTTCACATAAGCTCTGAAGGTGGCCCTTAGCTCAGCAACACTTGTAGCTAGGCTGCACGCTTCATGGCCCGAGGGGTGCTCCCTTCCTGCCCTCCTGGGAGGAGCAGTGCTTTTTGTTCAGCTTCCCCTGCAGGCAGCAATCACTGCAGTGAGTCACTGACCTATGCAGATTTAGGGAAAATGTTCTCTTGTAAAAGCAGATGACGTAAAAGCTTTGGAGCATAACTGGAAAAACACATGAGGGACAGCAAGGAACCCATCCTCTTTACAGAGACAGTGCTCCAGAGCAGCAGTTAGGGAAGGAGATGGAGCTTTCAAAACCCAGACCCAGGGCCGTGCTACTGAAACTGGCTGCAAGTCTCCTGGGTGAGAGACAAGAATTGAATTAAAAGCATATGAAACAGCACAGAAGTGATATCCTAACACTGCTTGTTTACACTGGATGTTTGTAAGCAAGGAGGTAAAAATAATAACGGGAAAATTAAACTTTTCCTCTTCTGGTTTTCTAAACCTTACTGGTCTACTTTGCAAGGAATTTGCAAATCCACTGTTACGACATCTCATTTCATACCACGTATTACATGAAACCCCTTGGAACTGACACTGTTACTACATCTCATTTCCTCTTATGCATTATAGGAAAGCATTTGGGCAGAAACAGGGCTGATGCCTGGCCAGCAGAATCTCCGTCTCATGTTACGGCCTGCTGGGTGAATCACTGCAGGTACAGAGAGGCTTTTCAGGAGGCATGGAGCATTATGAGCAGTTTGAGACAAGGGTCACATTCTCCTTTCTGGGCACAAAACAAGGGGCTACAAGCCGTTACAGTGGGCTCACACTGATAAGCTCATAGGCTAGTGCTGGCTTCCCCTCTTAATCCTCTCAAAGACACGGGTAAAAGGTTGCAAGGCAGCAGACAAGGGAATCATTCATCAAGACCAATGCAAACTCTTAAAACAGGCTCCAGTTTCAATCCACCAGATCTACCAGGAGAGAAAAATATAAAAATGTTAAAAGCAACTATACAAACAAGGGATGGATATCGGCTATGAAGCTAGGCCAGCCAGGATCCCAGTACAGGAGCCAGATTTAAGCAGTCTAGTTTAATCATAACCTTACTGCTTTGATAGTTATCACACAATGTCTCTTTAAATATACATCTACTGGAAATAAAAAAAAACACACATAATCCTTTTTGGTGGGTATTATTGGTTTAACAAGTTTCTGCTAGTTCAAAAATTTCACATCTCAGTAGTCCCATCCTGCTTTGAAGCACAGTTAAGAGTGGTTCAAAATAACACCCGTCTTGGTGTCTAACAGGCTTCTGCTCATAGGAAAAAATAATCCAATTGCTATTCCAAGCCCGATTCAGCAAGGCCATCTTTGCTAAGAAATAATTTTCTGACCCCAAACCAAGCAGTCACCTCATTTCTGTGATGACTATGTTATGAAATGCAGTACGCTTGACCTCAGGAGGTCTCCACAAACGTCAGCCCCAGGTGTTGGGAAACATTTGCCCCCTGGCTTGCATCAGACCAGGAGATGGTGGGGCTGCTGTTACCCTCTGTCCCTCTCCTGACAAGCTCCAGCACAACTTGTCTTCATTTACAGTTCCAATTCCCTTTAAATAAACGTAACCCCAAACCAGCACATTTCTGACAACAACAAAAAAACGTTAAGTGGGACTCACAGACACACCAGAAAAACCTCTCCTCAACAGCAAGCACCTCATCTTTTTAACTATTACATGAGTAAATAGTTATTCCATCAGTTATCCCAGGCAGGTAAGTCTTGGGGGAAAGGGAAGATAGAATATATCAGGGCTTATTGAGGTTTGAAAGACAAGTCTGAATTTTTAGCACTTAACCAGGGTACCCATATCCCAGCTTTTTACAATATAATTTTATAGCCTTCCATCTTTTCTATTACATTCATATAGGCCTAAGATTCATATGAAAGATATGTGCTTATGAGGCTACAGTAAAATACAGGGTTAAAATTGAGAAGAAATGTAATGCAGATTCCAAGCACTGTCAAGCAGTTCAATAATTCAGTTCATTTTCTGAATTTCCCCTGTCATCTTTGCACCTTTGTGGTCCTCCCCAATAACTCCTTTCCTTCAACAGTATTTATAACAAGAAATAAAACAGCATGTGACATGAACTAATTCCAATCCTGAGGTGGATGAATTTGTGCTATCAGCAAACAATAATAAAGCCATGATGTACTGATTTTATAATACAGTCAAGAATGACTAGCATGACCAGTAGAAAACAAAGAAATACAGGGAACTGAAAAACATTATGGTTTTGATCAGATTCTCTGCTAAATCCACAACAAACATGAGATGCACAAGAAATTCATATTTTACAGAATTACATATACCTCCTCCCTCCTATAAATTAAGCAAAATTCATCTGCCACCTATCGTTCCCACCTTCCACCCACCAAAGCCTCCACCTACTGCAACTATTTCTCCTCACTGTCACAACAATACATGGCCCTGCAAAGCTTTGTATCCTGTCCTCCCCCAAATCAGACAGCTAGAAATTTGCTTTTATTCAGCATTTTTCTCTGACAGAACAGAGGAGTCTCCATTCTGGAGACCCATTCTGGAGAAGTGTTAATATTTTAGCTTCCCTTAGGATAATAATCAAAAAAACCCAAAACCCAAGAGTGTAGCAGGTCAGGACCCTGCAGAAGGGCCAAAGAATAGCAATTAAGACAGAGAGAAGAATGGAAAACTTCCTCTCAAAGAGATCAGTGAAAGCAAGATGCAAGAAAGGGCCAGAAGAAGGAACCAAAGGTCTGCCATTCCCTTTAATGGAGGCAGAAAATAGGAATTTAAGTCATTAAATTGGCATGTGACCATGTGGTTCCTTGATATTCAGAGTAACAGTACATTTACTTAAGGCCCAAGCCATAGAATTAGAAGGCAACACATACATCTTAGCATCTGGAGACTTCTGAAGGGAATGGACAGGACTGAGGGAAAGGCTCTGAAGGGACATGAGAGCATCTTTATTTTATATAAGTCAAATTCAGCTTGAAACTATAATAAAAAAAACTGTACAGTATCAGGCAAACAGTGAATTTAATTACCAGAAATCTCTTCTATTGAGACTACCAGGTGCAATTTTGTGTAAAAGTTACTGTCAATTTGTAATTTCAGTTCCTAAGCACACTATCTCCTTCTTCTATCTAGGCTTCCTTATACTGCACCAAATCTGCCCTTAATCTTCTACAGGGAAGCATCACCTCCTGAGCTGGCCCTGTGCCCAGCTGCAAGCTGGTACTGACAAAGACAAACAGAGCAGTCATGTTTATAGTGCGCTCACATTCCCACGGACTCCCCCAGAACTGTTCCCCGCTTTTGTTCCTTCCTAAAAAAAAAGCAAAAATAGTCAATAATGGGGAAAAAAAAAGAGAGAATCTATAACTTACTTAAGAGATAAATTTAGTTTGTAGAGAACCCTATTATTTGTGGACAAATATCAGAGAATCATAGCGCTATTATGGTTGAAAGAGACCTTCAAGACTGAGTCCAACCATAAGCCCTTCCACACCCTGCCTGATAAACCATGTCCTAAAGTGCCTCATCTACACATTTTTTTGACATTGCCAGGGACAGTGACTCCACCACTTCCCTGGGCAGCCTCTTCCAATGCTTCCCTACTCTTTCTGTGTAGAAATTCTTCCTAATATCTAACCTGGCACAACTTCCCTGCAAAAGGCCTTTTTTTTAAAGAAATGGAATTAATCAGATTTAAATTGACAACAATAAGTAGAATAGCACTGGACCTTCTTTGATGACAGAGAAGCAAAACCCATAACATCAGAAGGAGAGACGACAAAAAAGAATGCAGCTGAACTTCTACTGCCAAATCAGCTTACCATAGGAGGCCAAGCAATGGAATTACTGGCACATTAATGCAGGCCAAGCTATCTCGCAGGGACAGTTATCCTTCTAGGGAAGAAATAAATATCCCCTAAACAAACCCAATCGTTGGTTAAGTTTCCATGAACAACAGCTGTGAACTCAAAAGGCTACACAGTATTTTCCTCCTCAACCTACCACTGAGCCCTAAGCAGATTGCCTTTGCAGCACCAACAGCTTGCCTGTGTGTGCTGAAGACCAACATTATCTCAAGACGGCTTTCCCATCAGAGGCTGTTATAACTCATGTGTCATGGGCTGCAGCTTCCACTGCCAACTGGCCCCTTCCAGCTGCTGAGCCATAGGGATGAAGGATTCACCTACAGGGCTCTCCAGAGCAGCACCTCCTGTTTAAGGTGGCACTACATTAAACTTTGGACCACATTTGCTACATCCCCTTTCTGCAATCCATCCCTGCTCTCCATCCATCCCTGTTACACAGTTGCAGGTAAAGCTTTATAAATTAAAGTTTCTCCCTGCAAGAATTCAGCTTTACAGGCTTTTATCTCATGTCTCGTTCCTAATAGCTGTGATTTTTTTCCCTCCAGTTCTTGACCTGAAGAAGCGAGGGATGGGAGAAACCAAAACACAAACCTATCGATTTTTTTTCCATGGCAACAAAAGAGAGTAATGGCAAGAGTTAAGAGACCATCCTTTCCATTAAGGGACCATCCTTTCCATTCAGGTAGCGTTATTGCTAAGTGCTTTCGAGGCAAAACCCCAGACAAAGCCTCTCACGCAGAGCTGTGCCCTCCAGAAAATTCTGCGCTCTGTCGCTGGGAAGCATGCGACCCTTGGAGGGAGTTAAAGGGCCCCTGTTTAAGAGCCGGCGGGAGAGGGGGCAGAAAGGGCGCCCGGGGAGGCGGCGGTGGTGGCGGGTGGGCGCAGGGGCCGCGGCGAGGCGGGGCTGCCGGCAGCTTTGTCCCGCGGTTCCCGCCGCGCTTCGCCCCCCGCGCCGCCACCTCCTCCTCGCCGAGCCCCTGCCGCCTCGCTCGGGGTCTCCTCGGGCTTCGCCCCGCCGCCGCGCCGCGCAGTGCTCACCGAGCCCGGCCAGCCGCTCCACCAGCCCCGCGGCGCGCAGGGCAGCGGGGCCGTGGTCCACGCCGCGCCGCTTCTGCCAGACAAAGAAACGGGGAGGGAGAGAGAAGGAGGGAGCGCGTCACGGAGCGCTGCGGAGCTGCCGCAGCGCCCCCGGCCGCGCGGAGCGCCCCCGGCCGCGCGGAGCCCACCTGCCCCCGCGAGAAGGGCGCTCCGAGCAGCGCCACGGCGTGCGCCGCCTTGGGCAGCTGCAGCGCCGCGTCCGCCTGCTTGCGGAGGAGCCGCGCGAAGCTGCTGCGCAGCGACATGGCGCGGAGGCGCGCGGCGATGCCGGCCGCTGCCACCGCGCCGCTCCTTTTAACGAGCTCCAGCGCCGCCGCAGCGCCGCGGCAGCGGGCGGGCCCGCCCCGCCCCGCCCCGCCCCGCCCCGCGCACACCCCGCGCCGCGCGGCCAACGGCAGCGCGTGCGCGCGGAGGTGTGTCCCGCCCCCGGCCAACGGCCGCGCAACGGCCAACGGCCGCTCCCGCCGCGCGGCCACCGGTAACGGCCGCCGCGGGGGCTCTGGGCGAAACACGGCTCGTCCCGCCCTGCTCGCGGAGCCCTCCGCCGCCGGGGGCACCCGCTGCCGGCCTCGGCGGGCAGAGGCGCCGATGGAGAGATCAGAGATGCGCTGCGAGGCGCCTGCTGCGTCCTGCCGGAGAGAGGTGGTGCGGGGGCTGCGCTCTTGTCTTGGCAGCCTTGGCAGAGCATTGAAAAAGTCACCTCTTCTCCTCTTTCACTCGAGGCGTCTTGCTCCAAGATAGCCCTATCCCTCTGGGAGCTCTCGGGCTCTTCACAGTGTATCTTAAGGAGAGCAAGTTCAATAAATGCCCCCAAGCAAGTCAGTCACCCCGTGTTACCCCTCTGTGGCAAGGCCCTGTGACTCTTACACTGACACGTCCCAATATGAGAACCTGTTCGGAGGAAAGGCTGGTGACATTATAACGAGCTGAGATCAGGGATGACTCAAAGGCAAGCCAGGGTTAAGCCAGGGCTTGCCGCTAACAGGAAAGCAAAATCTACGCACATGTTTTTGCCTTTTCCTCTTCCTTGAAGATGTCCAAGCCCTCTCATCCCCTCGCTAGGTCCAGTGGCTTTGCATTGCCGGCTCATGAATCCCGGGGACAACAGCTCTCCCAGCCACCCATCACGGACCTGTTTTCCGTCCATGTGGCTTTTTGTTCCTTCACCCCTACTTTGTTTTAAACTCTCACAATCTCTACAAGGCTCTGCTATCCCCTTTCCATCAGGCTCCGGTTCCCTCTCGGCCCCCTCAGCCACCCTCGCGTTACGCCTGGGTTGCGACACAGCCCCTCGTGCGGTGTCCCCTGCGCCCCTTGCCTAGCCGGGATCTCAGCAGCAATTCCTCCAGCCCCTCACACCTTTCTCCTTGGCACATGGCTTTACTATCCCCGCGGGAACTACCTAACAGGTTTATACATAGTAACTGCCCAAGGGCTTGGAGGATGCCGCGCGTGGGATGAGCTGCCCGCACAGTGATGGCTCCTTCGACTGAAGCCCAGGGGCTGCAGAGGGAGGCAAGTGAAGAGGAAGAAGCCAAGAAACCCCAAATAAAGACTCATTAAAGCCCTTGGACACAAAGCCAAGTCTCCAACTTATTACATTTCTGATAACATCATGCACTTAAGATGGCAGAGAACCAGCGAACGCCGCTTTAAACTGCAAAGCGTGACTGCCTTCAGTTAGGCGCCCGCAGTTATGGGTGGCACAGGCAAGAAGGGGCAGATTTTTCTGTTTTGCTCCGTTTTCGCACGCAGGATCCGAGCAGAGCCGCGCAAATCGAGGCGGGAGCCGCCCAAGGCGCCGGGGCTCGGCTGAGGGCGCGCGGCAGGAAACGGGAGCGGGGCGGCCGGTTCCCCGCGCCCGTGGCCGCCGCCTGGCGC